TAGGCATAAAAATTGCAAAATTTTCCTTTTTAATTATTTAGCAGGTAAATTGCGTATACGCCGCATAGAACATCGTAGCAGAGTAGAGCAGAGTAGAGCAGAGCAGAGCAGTTAATGCGTTTGCTCAAATTTAAGAGCAGCACATTAAGTCTACACAAAATTCCATTTTTACAGTTTTTTATTTTGTTCTTTGTTTGTGGGAGCAACAGCACCTGGCTAAAATTTCACGCCGCTTTTCTAATTTTCCCAAGATGCCCTCAAATGAGCGCCACAAAAGTGCATTCAACTGTGCGTGTAAATGCTTTAGGGAGTCTCGTGGCAACAACAATAGCAACAACAACAGCAACAACAATGAGCAACGCCTCACCCAAGCTGTGGGTGGCCAAAGAGTTGCTGGAAACTTTTGAAGCTGCCACAAAATTGCGTTAACTTTTTCGCCAAGTCACTTGATTATTAAGTCGCCAAAAAGGCGCTTGGCGGAATGTCACAATGGAGACACCTACTGCCCCTCCACTTCCCCGCTCCCACCTTAAATGACCTTGGCTTGATTTGGGTTAGGGTCCTTGGTCGGCTGTGCGCTGAAAACTTGTCGACAGCGTTTAGCGCGTAATTGAGACAATTAAATTGACTCTGACAATGGGCGAAGGCCGGCCAAAAAAGGGAAGCACCGCAAATCAGCAGCGCAACTGAAATATAATAAATAATCCTTGGCACAGGATAGCTGGGCGAGTCCTTTCTCCTATGACCTGAAGCCATTGAAAATGTGTCAAAAGGGTATAAGGAAGTGTTGGCACAGCATATTGAGGCGCAGCAGCAAGCAGCGCCGATCCCATAAGTATTATATACTTGATCTCGACTTGATCTATTCTGTCTGTCCATCTTCTTTCAGGATGAGAGCGGTGATATCTAAGACTTTAAGAGTCGCAGACTTTCAACTTGAAATCTAAGTCTTCTAATCGATCAACTTTATTTGATTTGATCAATAACCAGGCCGTCAAGCCGGAAAGGGAACCAGAATCGAAGCCGCAAGTTTTCCGATTGAAATGCACAATCGGAATCTGTTCTCAACATGTGTATAAAATAAGAGCACAATTTTAAAGCAATATCTTTCTAAACTTAAACACGATATTAATTTAGAAACACAGAAACAAATTACATTTTCATAATTTTTCATTGTATTTCCTGTATTGTGTTCAGGATATCTCCTCGTCGAGCACTCTCGACTAGAGCAGACTTACTGCCTTTTTTGGTAGAACCCGAAACCCTTTAAGTTGTAATTAAATTTTCATTTGGTAGCTAGCTTTTGAGTTAAGTTTTGACTTGCTGGCTGTGGCACGTAAATTGCTTTGCCTAAGTTGATGATGCTACGCATATGTGTGCGTTTGTGTGTGTGTTTTTGTGTCCTGCAGCAAGTTGTTGCTGTTGCCTGTTGCATAAGTGAAGACACAAGTTCTGCGTGCCTCTGCTTAGTATGCATTGCATTTTGTGTGCCTTTGTGGCAAGGCTTTGAGGAAGACAGCAGGACAAACTGCGACTGATTTTATTATGCAGAAAGCGCTACACACACGCAACTTTAAGCCGTACCACATGCCCCTAACCGTCCACCCCTCCTTCCCTTCTTACCATTGCCTACCTTCGTAATTGGAGCGTAATGTGTTAAAGTGACAGTCACGTGAACTGCGTCTAATTTGCTGCTGGTTTGTTGCCTGGTCTTGTTTGTTGTTGTTTGTTGTTTGTTGCCCCACAACTGTTGCATATTGCATGAACTGAAAAGCATTTGCTGTGAACTGTATTTCCACACAGTTGCGTGCGTGTGCTTGTGTGTGGCAACTAGAAACATACGAGGGCTGCATGCAAATGGGATGCTCTGAAATCAACACAAATCAAAATTCAGTATGAGAAAGGCAGTAAATGGACTACAAGGCAAAGGCAGCAGGGAGCAATTTTCGATTTGGTGAAAGAATCGCTGCTGGAATTCTAATTACCAGCTGCAATTACTCGAGTAATTGCATTTCTTTGGTTTTTGGGTTCTACAAATGGAATTTCGCAATAAATTCGAACAATTTAACATTTGAATATAAATGACATATTAAATTGAATGACAAAACATGCCTTAATTCAAAAATCGCTGCAGTTTTGATGGAGATAAATGAATTAGAAATTTGAGAACGATTTTTTGCGGAACTTGGGAACTGGGAAATTGTTATTTGAGCAACAAATGAAACCATTTTATTGTAGGCCTGCTGTTTTTTTTTGCTTTCAATTCTAGTGTTGAATTTCAATCGGTAAAAATGCAGTTCCAATTTCTATTCCAATTCACGGTTGACACTCGAGTTGCGGTATTTAAGCGACAAGCAAATATTGAATTAGTTGTTGATTCCGATTCAATTTCGTTTCCCATTCCGGTTTCACACCTTGTTTGTGGGTTTCACCAATTAAAGGTGTTGAAGTTTACTCAACTATTTATTTTAATTGCATATGAATATATATAGATTGTTTTATTTCGAGTCTTATCTGTTGACCATCTGTTGAAAATATTTTGTTGGTTGTTTTTCTATTTAAATTTTTTTAGTTTTTCGCCAGCAACGCGCACAGCACGCGTTGTTGAGCTTTCCACTCCAATCACCGCCAACCGCCTCCCCCTCCTGATTGCATGTGTATATATATATGATATATATGTGTATATATTTTGATAGGTTTTATTTTTGCTTATCCTCGCGGTCACAGTTGCAATGGCGCAAACATTTTTGTGCCCGGATTTTTATTGTAAAATTCATTTCGTTTCGTTTCGATTGGAAATCAACATTGCCTCCAATTCGCTGTTGTCCCAATTCACTGCTGCCTCTCCCCGTGCCCTTCGCTCCCCTTATCAATTTGTGGCTGTGCTTGTTTAGTTAAAAATGCTCAACTAAATATTTTTTATGATTTGTATTTAGCGCAGCATCAAATAAAAGCCGCATTCGACTCGAGTTTCGTTTTCAATTTCTGCTAATCCAGCAAAAAAAAAAACCGAACCAAAAAAGAAATGGAAGAAATTACATTGAATTTGAGCATGTTGGGAACTCTGGGGGAAAAGGGAGGCGGGAGTGCTGGGTGTGGCAGGCGGTGGGTTGGGACTCAAGAGCTTGGATAGCTATTGGAGCACTGAAAAAATGGTATATGCTTTCATTTTTCTTTTTTGCTTCGCTTTTTTTTGTGGATTTTTTCTTTGCGTTTGTTTGTTTGCCACGCGCTGAAAATTGCGGAAATCAGATAAAACGCTTTATAGATTTATATATGTGTGTGTGTGTGGGTGTGTGTGTGCGTATTTAAGGTAGTGTGCTCTGAAATAATATTTTGATGAGCAAAACGGATTTCGTGACGGCTTAGCTTGGTTTATTGCATTTGATTGAAATGTGCTGCATTGTCTCATTCTTGAAACAATTGCTAATTTTATGTGTATGTTGCTGTCATCTTTTTGAATTTGAATTGTGGTGGTGCTACTTTAAGCCGCTTAGCGCCAGACAGAGTGGCGCATGTGTGATAAGCGTTGAATTGCCTCGTCATGTTGCAACAGCGTGTCGTGACAATTCTGACCCACTGTCTCTTCCATCCCGGCTAGACAGAGAGAAGTGCTGCATCATCATTGAACTTGTAATTGTATTGATGAAGCCTTGAAAGAGACAACGAATTACATTTGACCTTGAAAATGATATTATTATGATTTGTGTGTTGTTTGCGGGACATTGAAACTGTCTTAAGTTCGATGCGGTCTTCAAACAGCACATTTTGTTTGTAGAATGTTCGTCTCTGTGCGCCCGGCGCTATTGTGTGAATGCCGCACAAAATTCAATATTGACGTATATTTTAAATTGAGTGCGAAATAGATATTCTTCAGCTCTCGTGCAAACATAAACAAACACACAAAAACAGAGCTCAAAGGTAAATAGACAAACATAGACTGCCATGCCATGAAGTGGCTATCAACTACACACAACAAGATGCCAATGACCATTGTGCCATTGAAAGCCTCACAGCAACCAAGCAGCCGATTAGGAGTTCGAACACCAATCGAACATCGAACATCGAACAATTATTGATCCGATTGATCTGTGCAGCTGGCGAACTGGTTGCAACAGGTTTGAACTTTGTTAACGTTGCGGAAGATGCTGGCGTTAAGTGTTTAGGTAATTTGTGATTGTTTATTTATTTATTTATGACTTATCAAACTTACAAAGTATGATTATATATATTCATGAACTATCTGTCAGCTTCTAAGCTAAACTAAGAGTACACCCAGAAAAACAAATCGCCCCAAGTAAATTTCTAAAATTTATGGTTGAGATTTTCTATAAATAGGAGTGGAGTTTTTTTAAATTTAGAAATAATATGTATAATTTCCGGGTTGTGGTTTTCTATTGATGACTTCATTTACTAGTTATTTAGTTAGTTAGTTACTTCTATTATTAATACATATTTGTGTTTTAAGATTTCACATATGCAAACATTTTACATAGTTTAGAAATTCATTTAACTTAATTGGAAAAACTTACGATTTCAGTTAGCATTTCTAATTTTTAGAAATGTCTACTATAATTGGTGGTAATTGATAGATGGAATCAATTTCTGCAAAGGGTATGTAAACTTCGACTTGTCCAAATTAGCCCAACGTCAGAGAAATCAAGCCCAACGTCAGAGTGCAACTAAATCGATGTGTGAAATTGAGATTATAGTTCGTTGGTAGTTGCTGTTGTTGTTGTTGGTGTTTTTGTTGCTGTTGACTGATTTGTGTTCGTGTTCGCATCGAACGCGTCGCTTCTTGCAATCTCTTGCTAATTTTTCGTATAAATAGCAAATGATATTTCAACAGTCAAAACATAACGCAACGCTTCAACAGCACAGCAACAGCAACAGCTCAGTTAACACTAAACACTAAAGAAAAAATGGTAAGATTTCATTGCGACTTTGACTTTTGTGACAAATTGAACAACCAGCTTTTTATGCAACTCTAAGCAGTTGAATTTGAAGTCCCTCGTCTCTGGATGGATGCTGCTTGTGGCAGTTGAACATGTGTCTGCTGGCACCGTGCGTCAGCTGCAACGACGCGATGTCTCGCATTTGCCGCTGGAATATTTGCCACCTGTGGCGTTGCCACCGATACCTAGTCGCGAGTATTTGCCACCCGTGGAGCAGCATGCCGCGAGCTTGCCACAGGTTCTGGAACCGCCACGTGATTACCTGCCTGCAGTGGAACCCGCCGAGCAGCTGAAAGTGAGCAACGAATACCTGCCACCAGACGAGGAGGAAGACATAACCACAACTGAGGAGCCGGCACCAACCACAACCACCACCCCCATTCCCATCACCACCACCATTGAGCCCGCCGAGCTGGAAACCGAAGCACCCGTTGAGTTGCAAACACACGAAGAGCTCGCTGAGCCATCGGGCGTGCTGCAAGCCGATGGCTATCATTATGCCACACCAGAGATTATACCTGATTTGGCGCCAGCTGCGTCTCCGGTTGAGGCATATCTGCCGCCACTCGATGACAATGAGGTGGTCGTGGCCGAGGTGCCACAAAGCGAGGAATCAGCTGCCCTTCTCGACGATGGCTATCATTATCGCGCCATCCGACGACTAAGATTGTAGGCGGACGCTAAAACTCTTGTTAACCGACATTTGTTGTTGTTTATTTTTACACACTTGCAATAAAAGGAATTGTCTATCTATCTATATATGTATATAAAATGTGACAGCTCAATCGGTGGGTTGGGGGAGGGGTATTTATTTTGACGTGTGGTGTTCATAACATTTCATTTGATATTGATGACAGGAAATTAGAAAAATGTTTTCATTTTGCTCTGCCCGCATGCCAAAACACAAAACTCTTGCCGCATCATGCCACATTCTCATCATCCTTAACCCAGCTCCAACGCATCCACATCATTTCCCATGTGTCCGCTCGTTCTTACTCCTGGCTGTGTGTGAGGATTCACAATTGATTTGTCGGGCTGTCTGGCTGTCTGTCTGTTCTGTTGTCGCTTACACTTTAAAATCCTGGCGCTGTCAGGACGTGTGTGTTTCTGGTTGACACAATGTTGTCCCTTTTCTTGTATTGTTTTTCATTGGTTTTCTTGCCCTCATCCACTTGTTTTGATTAGGCAAGTTTTCATCTTCTTCTTCTTCTGCTTCATTCTGTAAATACTGCTGCAATTTTCCAATTTGGTCCATTCATTTTGCAAACTCTGCTTTAAGTGTGTCAAACTTTTGCCAAAGGCTTGCTTTATTTGGCCAAAGAGTTTGTCACATGGGAAAAGTCTCTGCTTGAACTTGTAAAAGATGCCGCTCTGAATGGATTCTTTTTTATTGTTTTATTTCCTCAAGGGACTGCTTAATATTTTAGCTAGGGTGTTCTCACGTCGAGCATCGCCAAAAATTCGCAAACTTGCCTGTTATTTTTTGGTTCTTTGGCCAAATACAACATCAATATAAATGATCATTTTATGCTTTGCACTTGAATTATTTATGAATGTGCTAAAAATTGAAAATCAGACTTTATAAATTGACTGACAAATTGACTGACTGTTCGCTCCTTTCCCCCTCTCTCTCTGTCTTTGTCTGTGTCTCTCTCTTGGCCAAGTTGAAAGCCACGCAACAAGTGGCAAGCAGTTGGCTGCAACAACCAACAAATGTTGCGGTTAGCGACCCGTAACCAAAAATAGCACACAAACTAAACAAAAACCAGAAGCAACAAAGAAAATAAATACGACTCAATTTAAAAAAGAAAACAGCTTTTACTGCAGCCCCAAAGGAGCCGAGTTCTCGATGGCCAACAAACGCATTTTTGTGGAGCCCATAAAACAAACACCTGTAAACCATTGAATTTTGGCCATATTGAACGTGCAAATGGAAATGGAAAGCTTTCCACGATGAAAAGCTTTCGTCGTGTTTTCCACTTCAATATTCAACGAAGCCAACAGGAAAAGCGTATAAAAGGCAACTGCCTCAGAAAATTCAACTCAGTTGCGGTTTCAAAACGAACGCGAAACAAACGAGACCGAGAAAATCGTTGTGTTATCGTGAAAACGGGATGAAAAGCGTTTCGGGCCACATTTGAAAAGAGGTAGCCAATAAAGAGCAAAGCAGAAAAAACCATTCAAGTGGCAATAGATACAAATGTTTCGATAAGTGCCCAAATATGTGTAACTGACCAACACCTCTGCCCCCACCCCACCCAAAAAAGGGTACACTAAAATGATACGGCAAATTATTTATAAATCGAAGGCAATAAAAATAAAGCGTTAAATGAATTTTGAAACGAATTTTCATTGAAGCAAAATAATAGTTTAAATAATGCTCGTTTAAATGAGCAATTTGCTGTATTCCAAAAGATCATTCCAAAGTGATGCTAAATTAAATAGTGTTAATGAACCAACAAGCAAAGTAAATAATTCAAATCAAAAATGAATTCATAAATACTTTTCAAATTAAAAATCACTTACATGCATTGTGCAGCGCAAAAATAATATAATGTTTTTTCATTGCCCTTCGTGCAAAAGAAATTATAGTTAAAATTAATAAACAATTAACACGACAAGCACAGCAAATATTACACAAACAAAACGGCAGCAGCAACCACAACAATAATAATAATAATAATTATAATACAAATATTAATCAGAAACAGCAATAATTTCACGCTCAATTAAATTGAAACTTCAGCAAATCCCCATTCGAACGGACTTTCCCAAAAGCAATTAAAATGCAATTAAATTGTGTGCAGAAAGCAAAATCAAATTAAATGTTACATTAAATTCGCAAAAATCTCCAGTTATTACTTTTTGACTCAATGTCAACACAATACAAATATCAATAGTAGCAAAAAGTTGGAAATTGAATATGAATTGTTATTGGTGTATTTACATTGGTAAATAAACTGCATTCACCTTTGAATCTTATTGTTATACTCTGCAGTCATTTAATATGCGTAAAAAGGGTATAATAAAGTTGTGCCAAAGTACGTAACAGGCAAAAGGAAGCAGCTCCGATTTATATAAAGTATATATATTTTTTTGATCAGGATCAACAGTTGAGTCAGTCGCGGAGGTCAATAAGAGCTAGAGACTTCAAATTTGGAATATAAGTTCTCATTTGTCATCTGCAAATCATAGCAATAAAAGGACATGCTTATATTTACATCATATATATTATTGATCAACTGTGCAAATTTCATTATTATAAAAAGAAGCACAGATTCTGCTAACCAAAACGTATTTTCATGTGAAATTAACTTCGTCCAGCCTTTGTTGATTCTAGATTTGCTTTTGTGAAACTGTGCTTAAAAGAATTGATATATTTATGTATATATATATATATAAAAGAGTAAGGGTATCTCCTAGTCATTCTTACTTGATGTTGTTGTTGTGGTTTTTTTGTTTATTGGCGGCCTTTCTATTATACACTCACACACATCTGGCTCAGTTTATTAATAAACGGTTTTGCGTACAATGCACACCACATGAGGACAGATAATGAAAGCGCGTATACGCGATGTTGCCCGCGGTCTGCTGTGTATGTGTTTGTGCTGTGTGTGTGTGTGTGTGTGTATTGCTTGTGTGTGTGCGTGGCACGCTTTTGTATTTATTAATAACAAAGTAATCAGACATTGTAATCTGCTCCAAAGCGTATTACAGCAGTCATAACAATAGCAGCTCAAGCTCAAGCAATGCCCCCATCCCTATATCCACCAAACTCCTCCCCACACCACCGCCCACCTCTACACGGTTATCAGCTCGTCGATTTGCTGTTGGCTTTATCTGGCTGCATCCTCTTAGGTCCTGTGGCATTGTTTGTTAGCTCGGCGCACTTCCGCCTCAAGTGGCAGCAACAGCAAAAACAATAAACCAAATTGTTTCATCATTTTTTTCTCTTTCTAGATATTTTCCTTTTTTATTTTGTTTTGCAATATTTTTCTAATTTTGCGCTTCATTTCCAGTAAAGCGAAATCAGATCCACAAGCTGATTCAGTTCCTCAATTTGCTGTACTCATTGAGCGACTTTTGATTTGTTATTTTTGCATTTTTAATTTGACTTCAATTTGTGTTGATTTTTCCTTTGAGTCCTTGCTACTGATTGTCTACACTGTTAGGCGGGCGTGGCACATATTGATGGGCGTTTGGCGTGTTTATGAGCCAACTGCGAAAACAATCATTTGTATCGCTTGCCACTGTCTGCCATTATTTTCTCTTTTTTTTCTGCTTTTTCACTTTTAACATTTTGTATGCAAATTGCAGGACATGCGGTGTCAGGCTCCACTTTACGACCACATCTCTGATTACTGAGCAATTTAAACTGACAGTGGGTCAAACTAATAAGCAACACACTTATATGTTTTGCATAATTGTTGGCCTCCCGCCTCTTACCCTCAGTTAGTCGGGCAACACTGCGTATGATTGATATGCATAGGCCATGACTTCAATGATAGCCTGCATGAGTCTGTCGACTTTTCACTTCTCTGCACGAATGCTGTTTTGAATATGCGTTAAACTTCTGGTGCAGCTGCCATTTGCAATTCGTAATTTAAAATATATGAAAATTTATAAGTTGAAAAAGGAAAATAAAACATCAGAAAACCACAAAAACAAGCACGAAATGCGCTAGTCGAGGGAGCTGGGAGGGTAGATACCCTAATGCCTGTTGTTAAGTATATGGAAATTATTAAAGAACACATTCTAGTCTTGTGCACAGCTTACACTTGATCAATAATAAGCCAACGTATATTTAGAAATTAATTAAAATTTTATATCGATTTGCATTGATGGTTGCTTAACGCAGAAAGTCATCGCTGCCAGATACGACTGTTAATCCTAATCAAGAATATACATGTATTTACTTTATACAACTCTGGCCTGATTTCTTCTGCTATATATTTTGGCATAACTTCATTATAACCTTCTTAGAGAGAAATATATTGACCCTGCTGGGGCAGCTGTCTTAGATGTTTCCCTCAAGGAGTTACACACCCACTCACGAAGTTAAAATACCCACTTCGAGGGCATAAAACGAAGCTGTCAAGCTGAAAGCTGAAAGCTGAAATATCAGCAGCAGGAAAACAGCGGCAAAATTGTAGCGACAACAGCAACAAATCAGTTTAATTTAAATTTCCCCTACACCAGCCGCGTGCACATGAACGTCTGTGTGTGTGTGTGTGTGTGTGTGTGTATATATGTGTGTGAAAGGAAAGTTTATTTTTTTTGTAACGCCAGCAGACCTTTTTCGGCACAGTGCCTACCAGAAAACAAACAAGAAGCAACACATAAGAAAAACACTCAAGTGAAGGCGAGAGAGTTTTCGGGTTCGCTGCCAAAAAGAAAAAAAAAAACAATAACAAAAAAGTATTTATTATAATTATTTGAGATATTTTTCATTTAAACGCGCATTTAATTTGCACGAACATAATGTGGCAGGGCCCCATTTTGTGTGCTACGACAATGCATACAAGATGTACAAATAAATAATCAGACGACAAGCAGCTGGAGCAGAAAGCACGTATACTAAGAGGAAGGACCTGCCACAGAACCTGCCATAGAACCTGCCGCAGGACCTGCCACAACGTTAAACTTACTAACAGGTATCCTCATGCCTCACACACATAACTTCTCATACTCATTCACTCTGTTTCGGTGTTTTTTTTTTGAGTGGATTTGCTTTATTCATAAGCTGCAACAACTAAGCGCTTAATTATTTAATTTTGTTGCGTCCCAATCCCCAAAATGTTGGCTTCCTACTTTTTTTCTGGTCCTGGCTTCTGCTGCGGTTCACTGTCTGCCATTGTTCATGTCAGCTGTGGTGTGTGTGTGTGAGAGTGTGTGTCCTTTTGAGCTGCGCTTCTGTGTTGCGGCCAGCTCTGCGTATGCTTAATAAGTTCGCTATAAATTATTAAGTATACGTAATGAGCTAGTAAATTAGTTTCGTGCGCCTGTCAAATTTAATAAAAAAGCAAAATGCATTTGCACAAGTTACACTTTTATTCTGCGGCTTTAGGCCAACAAAACAGGTGCTAGAAAGGAGGGTGGAGGGTGGCGAGGTATGTGGTAACTGCGGTCTGTAGCAGCAATTAGTTAAACACAAAGTTTATGTGCTGACTTTGGCTAGGGCTTTATATGATTTTGCCATTCAGTGGGCTATATACATGTGTACGTGTCTATGTATGTAGAGGTGTGTGAGTGTGTGTGTGTGTGTGTGTGGGTGTGTGTGTGTGTGAGTGTGTGTCTATTTGTGTAAGAATGTAGACAATCTGGAAGCATGGGTACTAGGTTAAGGAAGTAGTGTTCAAAGTTTTGGGAACTTAATTTACAACAATTGTGGTGCAAAAAGCTGTTGGCAGTTCCAAGTTATCGGAATTCTTACACAGTATCTGTTTAAATAACGAAAAGGCAGCTCGGAAATAGCTTTGCATATCCTATAAATAGAGCTATTCAAAAATGAATATAAAATGTAATTTGTTTTGCATAATTATTAGACTTAAAGTTCCCAAACTGATAAGTATGTTAAAACTCTCTCTTTATCTTCAAATCCAAACACAAATTAAGAAGTTTTTCCAAACCATTCTGTTTCAAACACTTCTGCTCACTTTAATTCATTGGTCTCGATTGATTCCCTTCTTCTCTTAAGACTATTGAACACAAAGTCGCCTGTGACCACTATCAACATTTCTTGTATTTTTGAATATGGAGTATTCCGTATTCCGTAGAATTATATTTTAATTAATATATATTTCTTATAATTTATTATGTTTAAATGATTTTAAATACTTTTTCATTTTTAAATTTGTTTCTTAGCCTAACCAATACTTTAATTTTTTGTCTTTTAATTAATTTCATTCATTCATTCACGCGTTAACGACAATGTAAACTCATAATGGAATCACGATATGTTGAGAATGTGTAATCAAATCAGGCAATTATAGATTAAGATAACATTCTTAGGTCTATTACTGAATGGCATTGTCTCGCAAATGGAGCTTAATTATGTGAAAGAAGATTACGCATTTTTCCACCAACTCTTGACTAATCAAGCTAAAAAAAAGATAAGCTAAAATGACATAGCTAAATTCTTATTCCATTTACAAAGAGTTTCACCTTAGATATTTAGGTAGTCGATCACTCATTACATTTACAGTTGGCAGCTCCTTCATATCAATAAGCCCACCCACTCATCGCCCATCCATCTAATCTGTGTGTCTAATTTGGCAGAACACAGCACTAATTAGTATTAGTATTAGTTGCTGTTGCTGCTGCCGCTGCTATTGATGCCGTGTGGCAGCTACAGTCATTACTCAATGATAACAGATTAGATGTTCGAATACTTAGTATTCAGAATTGGGTTTTTTGTGTAATTAATAATTGAATTGTGTTGTAGTTGTATTCAATAACCTTTTAAAGGGGCCAAAAATCCAATCAGCTGTTGAGTGCAGTAATTTATTCATGAATTTTTCCACGTCTAAGACAACATGGACATGCCTCATTAGCCAGCGGGAGAGCGAGAGAGGCGGGGGGAGGGAAAGGGAGGGTAAGCTGAAATACATTTGCCACGCAGGACACGCGCCGATGTGAAACGCAGTCGCTGGGTAAAAATACATTTCAGTTTCAGTCTGCGCACTCAGCCAATATGTTCGGTATTCTTTGGGGCCACTAATCCCGGCCACCGTCTTAATTTCTTTGGGCATGTCTTTGACACATCTCGCCACGTGGAGTAGCCACAGCGAGTCCTTGAACTTCCAGCGGTACGTGATCGAATCGAAGCTGTAAAATGCAATCGAAAAATCGAAAATAAAACTAGTTGTTGCCACAACGATGCAGTCAATATAAATTCGCACAAATTTAACACAAAACGAAATGAACCACAACATTTTGTTTGTTTGTTTGTACAGATTTTACTTGGCATTCAGGCCATGAATGCAATGCAATGAAATGAGTGCGATTGCTCCGCCAGTGGGTCAGCTGCGAATCAGTTGATGGGTTAGTTGTCATGCGGAGACGAGTATTAAATGCATTTGGAAAATGTGCAAATTTGCTGAAAGGAAAAATCAATGTGGGCTGCCTTCAACTTGGAACTGTGGCGTCTCTGCTGGCCGACTGCCAAATCAGTAGCACTCTTGACATGGCCAAGTCACTGGCTCAGGACCTTGCTACAATCCTCTCTATCCCTCCCTCCCTCCCTCTCTACCACTTTCTCCCACTTCTCTCTGTCTAGCTAGCAGTGGCAGTTGCTCAGTGTCAGCCTATGCCTCAAGGCACTCATTGACGGCCAGTGTGTGCACTTAAGCACTGCTGTGTGGATGAGGAGCTTGGCGCAGGGGAAGAGCCCAACCTGGGGCTGCATAATTTTAATTAAATTGCTGTATCTTGCAGCAGCACATAAACGTTTGCTTTTGCTGCTTAGCTGTAGTTGCAGCAGGACTCAGTCCCTCCTTCTCTCTCTCTATCCAGTTGAGGCTTGAGCCAAATTGACTTCAGGCTGGAGCTGCACTGGCAGTACATATGCCAGCACAACGTATAAAGGACTTACCAAAGCAGCAGCAAACCAATGCAACCGAAAACAAGAAAACAATGAACAAGACCCAAAGCAACGTCCACAGCTCAGAGGCAGCCACAACAAACAGCCATACAAAAGAGGCAAGAGTGGAAAAGGCAAGAATGCTCGACTGCTTACATACCCATTCAAAAAGAGGAAAGAGTTGAACTGATTTTGATATAGATTTAAAGTGATATTTTGTCAAGGTTCAAGATTACTTTAAGACAAGACTTGTCACAGAAACAAGGAGGAACTACTTGAAACCAAATAAATGAAATAGAATCTACGATAAAATGATTGCATTGGCATTGATCCCTGCTGTAGTATTGCTACAGATAAGATAAGATAAGATAATTTAAGGCACTACTTATAGATGTATAAATAATTCCTTACCTTACACACAACATACCCATTCGCACTTCTCTATGTATGTACAGGGTATTAAAAATATCTAGAAAAAATGCTGTTGGCTTTTTTGCACAATGCACTCATAACTACTAGGGAGAGTCAGATGGGGTTAAGTTTAAACCTCCCCAGGGACGATGACAAGTTTCTTTTGCCTCCGCTGCTGTTGTTGCACCTCCCATTACTTACACAACCCCCCCTTCCCTAACCCAGTTGTTGATGCTGCATAGCTAAACAAGTGAAGGAGCTGTTTGCCTCGCTTGTTTGTCATTTGGGGGGCTGGGTTAACTTGATCATGTCACAAATTAGTAAGTCATCCTGCTCTTTGGGTCTGCTGCTCCTTCAGCTCCTTCAGTTGCTTCTGTTGCTGTATCTTAAGCTGCTTTCAGATATTATCTCCCATCTCGTAGATTGGCAGCTGCTCTGCTGTTCTTGTTGTTGCTGCTGCTTTTTTTTTGTGCAGAGCGTGTGTGTTTGCCTTTTATTAGACTCATAAATGGCTGTCGAAATTGTTTACCTTTTTTTTATTGCACTCATATCTCTATGGCATACACACGCACATGCTTGTTTAGGTGTATATGTGTGTATACACATATATTTTAAATTAGCTCACTTGATTTGCTTTAGCGCATTTGTAAGCTAAACAAAATTGCTGTGCTGTTGTTGATATCAATTATAATTTATGTAAGCAAATATCGTTGCTTATATTTCCAATTTAATCGAATCAATCTCCGACACTTCTGCTTATTCATACTAGCGAGCAGAAGAAGTGTGGTTAGTTGAGCATTGTGGTTGTGTTGTTAGATACCTTTTCAATTTATTATTAGAATTCAATCAAATTAGTTACACAGTCAAGAGTTACACTTACATTCATATATATATGTGACTTTGACAATGGCAAATGAAGACAAAGAAGGATCATAAGGATATTTGAGCCATGCCTTAAGTAATTGCTTGCTTGCAGAAGATTATCATTTTAATATATGCATTATATGAAACCCAGTTTCAAGCAGATGAATCTCGATAGTAATTGAAATATATCCGGGTATCTAAAAAATAGAAAATTAACTTGACCAATTAAAACTCATCAACTCATCAACGCCATGATAAACAGAAAGTTAGGAGACTTTAATTAAACTCAGAGCCAAACTTTTATAAAATTAAAAGCTTAAATTAAATGTTACATAATTTTATTTACAGCAAAATCAACTTAAAACGACTTATTTAATAACCCAAAGAAAATATCTGTATTATTTAATACATAATACAATTCAATATTTTCTGATACATTTACTTTAGCTGTTTAGCAGTTGACCACTAAAAAGCGTAATGTTTGCGAAAGTCATTCGAGTTCTGATTAAGTTATGGCCGCGGACAATTTGTGCCCGTTCCAGAAAATTTTGGGTAATTGCTTTTTCATCTGAATGAATAGCAGAGCATTACTTATTCAATTTGATGATGCATGCAAACACGCTTAATCGACTTCAATGAAAAAACTCAATGTTATATGCTGTTCAATAACAATATTTTAGCTAACCTGCACTCTCGTAAAACAAGAATATTTATTAGCATGCAGCAACCAACACCAACTCCAACTGCCTCTTTTATATTTTCCCTTCGCTACATTGGACAAACTATTAAATTTGTGTTCTGTTTTTAGTGTGCCCTAAAGAGAAGTGAAACATTTGTGCGTATGAGTAACAAGTTTTATGTTATCCTTCACTTGGTGCAGCATCTGCTTTTGCTCCTGTGCTCAGCGATGTGGCTGGCTGCTCAAAGCTTTTAGTTAGCCCGAAACCAAACTCAAATGTGAACCCGAACAACCTAAAGTTTCTGTTTCTGTTTCTCTTTCTGCTTCACATTGCGTATACGTCCCGTGGGATGTGCAATACAAACAGTTCCGATGATAGATGGTTAGAACGGACAACTGGAAAAGGAGGGGCGGGTGGGCGGTAGGAGTTGAGAACATTTTTCACGCGCACATCGCATATGAATTAATTTCCATTGCAAATTTTGCCACCTTTGCGTCAATGTAATGCAAACAAATAGGTGAAAACCAAATGGCAAATGCCAAATACCAAATAACAAAGCCAAACACAAAGATGACGTCGCGTAAACAAGGCCAACAGCACATGGCAGCATAAACAGAGTGGCAGCAGCAACAACAACAACAACAGCAGCAGCAGTAGCAGCAACAATTGCTACAAATATAGAAACTTGCTGCTGACTTCCCCATACTATATATAGACAAGTTGTACAACATATACAGAGGCGAGGGAAGGGTTTAGGTTTGTGAGTGGCTGAAAAATGCCAGCAGCTGCCTTTGCCAAGTTAATGAATGAATATGCATGAGAACAGCGTGGGTGGTGGAGTGGGACAACGAGAGTGGGTGGGTGTTGGCTGGGGGTGGGTGGGCTGACTGTTGCTGATGGGGGCTGCTTCTCGTGCTGCGCGTTCCTGTTGCTGCTACTCGTTGCTGGCCTCATTAATTTCTGCCGCTTATCGAATTTGTTTTGTGTTATTAATTTTTTGGCGCGGCGTGTCAAAGTTTTTCGCTATTCCGCTTGTTGTGGTTGTTGTAACAGCCACAATATTTACCAGCCCATTAGCGCTATTAATCTAATGAATTGCTATTGAACTCTTACTATGCAAGACTGCCGCTATGCATATACACCTACTTTCTACCTGGGTCGCAGTTCGCAGTTCCTCGTGGTTTGAGAAGCGTGCCTGACATTGATTAACACGCTGTGTGGATGGGGTTAGGGAAGGAGCGCAGGAGAGATCCTTGACAGTGGGTATACTCCCACACCTCGTTTGCTAGCGCCTTTAACAAGTTTTAAATCCACTTCTTATGCCCTGTAACGAAGTGTAATGAAGTGGGTAAAACAAGGACTAGTTAAGTGCGAGAGAAAGACAATGACAAAGAGTCGAAACCTTTTTTTATGAACCGAAAACTAAATACGCTTCAGCTTGACATCCAATATCTGATATATAATATATATATGATAGGGGAGTAACAATAATATTTATTTCAGAACTGACATTAAGATAGTTGAAGATAGATAAGATATTTGAATTGACAGAGTTCAGTTTAGTTGATTTTAATTGACATACGTTTTAGTTTGCAGGCAATCTGTTAGTCTATCAGCTAAGTGAATCCCATTTGATTGTTACCTATTGACGTAGCTTGGCTAATTAAATCAGCTGCTTGATTTCGTGAGTGCTGAGCTTGAGTTGCGATTATGTTAAAAAGCTTCGCAGAATTTTGTTTCCCAAGTCCAGAGCTCAGGATTTGATGCTAACGGATGACACTGATGGCTTATAGCAACAGGCAACACGCAGCAGTCGGAAAGAAAGAAAAGCAAAAAGAAAATATTAAAAAACCAACTACCATCAACTGCCAACTAGTTGCCATGCGGATGTCTGCACTCTTCAAGCAGTTTGCTGCCCATTTTGCATATGGCACACAAAAGTGGCAGCTTCTGAGTTCCTTTCCTTTTTACTGTGTTTCCGCCGTCTCGGCCAAGCTTGCGAGGCACTCGTGCATGCATTTTGGCAGCCAAATTCCCCAGAGCTGCACAACTAGCACATAAAAAAAAAATAAATAAATAAAATAGAAAACATAGCTCAAAAGTGTCAGGAAATCTTAAGGCTATAAGCTTCCATTTTTGCATATTTGATTCGACAATATTAAATATTTAGCTCGAGAGCTTTTCACGACACACGTTTTCGTATCCATTTACATTTTATTAATTTTTGAACGAACTTCTTGGCATATTTTAATTGAAGATTTTCATTTTCTACTTGTGCTTGTTAAATTGTTTTGAACAAAGCAGAAATCTGAATTTTAATTGGTCAATTTTATATAACATATTTATGAACTTTGGCCTTGGCCATGCGGATTCTCATGAATGTGTTTTATTTTCAAATTTAGTTTATATAGGCTACGTTGGCCAAAACACTCTCAATTTTAATTAGAGATAAATACATACATATTGTTTCTTTCTGTGGTTTCTTTTTCGATTTTCTCTTTTTTGGCCGTCTGGCGCGGCGTGTGGTAAAATTTTCCACCCAACACTTTGAATGGCATTCCGGCAAGTGTTGCAAAACCAATTCGTACCGTGACTAATCTACAATTTTCACGAATTTTCGTTAGTTTTTGAGCAGCAACACTTACGTACTTGTAATATAATAGCACCTGCTACTGGGCTGCTCTACATGATGTGCCCGTTTGTGTCTTTTTTCCTTTTTTCGATTTTTCGATTTTTCCCCATTCGATTTTCACTTGTTCGCCTTTCTTCTTTTTTGGTTTTGTTTTATTTTTTTTGGCAACAAAACAATTTGTTTATAGCGCGTTTGTTTTTGACATATTTATGCCGGCGGGTGGCACTTTTGCGACTCAACCCTCAACAGGCCCCCCTCTGCAACGGCCACGGCAACGGCAACGCCCTGACCAAAAAATATATATAAATACAATTTCTAGCCTTAAGAAACTGCCCCAATACTGTGGACAGGAGCCAAAAAATTGTGCGCCTTTCTCCTTTCCATTGTTTGTTTGCTGTTGTTATTGTTGCTCTTTGCTGCTTTGCTGTGTTTTGCTATTGCTGTGGTTGTCTGTGGCACAGTTTAGTGTTATGCGCTTCAGCAAAGTCGTTATAGAAATGTGCTCAAACTTGTAGCGTCCGTCATAAAAACGCAGAATTTTCGGCTTAGCGTTAGTTGGGCTCAGGCAACAAGTTGTCTTTGGGATTGCTAAGCCAAGTGTCATAAACTTGGTTAATTTATATTTATAATGCCATTTTGAAACTTAAGTACTTATTTTTATAACTATAACTGGATAGGTTTCACTTTCGTAGTAGCATAATCGTGTTGCGTGAATGTGGCAAATCGCTTCTTTACAAAATAATTTCTTACTATCATTTCCAGTTAGTTGCCTAACAACTGAATCGTATATAGACAAGTAATATCGGTTTTTGCAATTGGTACTTAAGCATAGTTCTGAATTTCCATTGGTAAAGTTAAGGTTACGGTTCCCGTTTCGGTTACGGTTTCACATCCTGATTTACTCAAACAGAAAATATAGTTTTTTAATGGTATCTATAATATCGACTTGTTGCAATTAGTTGATCCATATATCCACATTCTAAGCTCTGGTTTTAAAAAGCTTTTGATAGCTTATGCAAGAATTGCACAACTATAACTAATTAGTTTGGGTAATAATGAAAATAAGAATAATAAAGCACAGAATAGTTTTTGTAATTTTGCTGTCAAAATGGCTTAAAATAGCTAAAATCCTTTTGAAAGGTGCCAAAGCATTTTAGCACCATAGTTGTTGAGGTGGTATTAAAATTTAAGCGCTTATTTTAAAATGAAGTTTAATTTTCAGCAGTCTGGCAGCAGTTTGATAGGTTATACAAAATTTTAGCTGGCTGCAAAAGCGCTTTGTTTTCCTGATTTTTCAGCCGGCCGCGTGCCTTAAAAAGCTATTTGCTGTTAATACTTTTGAACCGACCCCTCACCACTCCCTCACCTAGTAAATTCTGTAACCTGTCGAGTTCTTCCCTTTAGCCAAATTCCCCAAGCTCCAACCCCAACCCCAAACCCTGCCCCCACCACACCCCTACCTCGACGGCGTCGCGTGTTTGGCGCGCATTTCGTGAGACTTAAGTGGGCCGCCCCGAAAAAACATTAGATAGGATACGATACGATACGAAAACGATGCGATGCGATATATTTATTGGCAGAGCCCGTTTTTCCGCTCCTTGCCGCGTGGGCGTTGTTTGCATTGTTTTTGCTGTTGTTTTGACAGCGTTTCTTGCCCAAAATCGAATTTATTGTTTTAATGCCATTTCAGTCGCGCTGTCGCCTCGTCCAAAAAATAAAACAAAAACAAAAAAAACAGAAAAAATTGGCAATTTGTTTAGAAATTAGCGCGCTTCATTTTTAGCATGTAAAATGAAAATCAATTTTCCCCAGGCCTCTAGCTACTCTACTTATTTGCTGCTTTGTCTCGTGTATTTGCAGCTGTTGAAGTTGTGGCTGCCACAGAATGAGCGCCACAGGCAATGCCACCATCACTGGCAGTGGCACCACCAGCACCACCATCACCCCCAGCACCAGCACCAGCACGACCACCACAACGCACATCTTTCGGTCGCTGTCATCGGAAAGCCAGAAAAGGGATTGGTCCAAACGGCTGTCATTGCGTGGCATGCGACATGGGGCAGGACAGTCTGCCAGCAAGGAGGTAAGCAGCAAATTGGTCCAATCACACAAGCAAAGCACTAAACACTAACCACTTGCAGGAGCCTGGAGTAGGTGCAGCTGGAGCTGGTATCGCTGCTGGTGCCGGCGGCAAGCATCGCAAGTTCTTCAGTCGCTCCGCATCGCTGAAGCAAGCGGGTAGCAGCAGTAGGCAAGCCTCCATGGAATTGCATGTACCTGGACACTCATCGGCAGCTGGTTCGCCATCCGGACAGCCGCAGTTGCTCACCCAACCGTCGACGCCAAAGAAATCGAATTGGGAGGTAATCGAACATTTCAATACCAGCGCCAAGGGAGGCAAGGCGATGGTGAGCAGCAGCCTGATTGCGGTAAGCATTCATTAGGGTTTCAGCCTGAAGGAGATGGGAATTGGTAAGGGAGAACAGGGACTGGGACTGGGACTGGGACTTGAACTGAGACTGTTATTGGCATCAATTAATTTGCGCTCCTAATGGACAGGCTGAGGAGCTGCTGCGATTTAAATATTTAATTCGATTTGGTTATAAACAGCGGGAGCGCAAGCGACGGGATTGCCAAATTAAAATACAATTTGAGGGCAAAAAGCCAGCTCAATATTAGCATAAATTGAGACGAAGCCATTTAAGCCAAAGGTTGAGCAAAAAAATTTAAGTTGTTGCTGCTGCAAGCAAGTCGCTTGACAAAAATACTTGAACACCTTTTGTGGCAGCTAACAAGCAACGTGCCTTGTTGCATACTCACACACACACACGTACACACATGCAAATATTGTATGCATGCACTAGGGGCCACTTTACAACACTGTCTATCTGTGTGTGAGTGTATGTGTGTGTGTGTGTGTGTGTGTAAAGTCAAATACACACTCGCTGCTCGCCAGTCGGTGTGCTGAGAGTCAATTGAAAAAAGTTTATGGCACAAAAAGCGAGAAGCGAACTTGTGGCCATTGAGTGGGCGAAGTGGGCGTGGCTCGATAATGTGTGGCAATTTGTTTAAAGATACCGTGCGGAATACTAAAATATAAACAAAGCAGTCGCGAGTACGGAATATGAATTTAAACAACTTGCACTGTTCTTTAAATTCATCTGTGCGTATACTTAATATTTGTATAAAAACCACATAATAGTCGATTACAATGTTTTTATCATGTAATTAAGTCTTTAGCGGTTTCAGTTGAAATATTTTATTATTTTTATACGTCACTATATTTGGATTCGGATTCATTACAAGTCCCTTGACAAGGGACTCTAGACTAAAAAGACCTAGCTAAACTAGATGTAATCAGTAGCGGCATCTATCAATTTCGTGAAAATGAGTCACACAGAAAAAGATGAAATATCTTCGGGAAACATGTATAAGCTCGGCAGGCATAGCAACCCTCAACCCGATAAAAATCAGATCAGGTTTGATGGAGGCTTACACAAACTAGAAATATTTATTGATGAACCAAAATGAGCTCTGTAATCGAGGTATTATAATGTGCGAGCCAATTAACGATACGATATTTCATAAATATAATATTCAAAATTATCACTCTTAATCAGACTTATACTTAATATATGTAGTAAACCAAATTATCACTCCCTTTACAGGCCGGCATCACACGCTGTAACATCGATGAATCGATTGATTCGACCAACTCGAGTTCCACCTGCCACAGTCCGATGATCTATCAACGCGATGAGGCACAGCTGCTACAGCAATGTGAGTGAACATGAACAACAACCATATTGTAACGTAATCTTTAGCATGTAATGGACGGGCAGCTCTGAAAAGGACACCAGAACATGGCTAATAAAAATGCCAACACGTGGCTGCTGGCAAGGGAAAAGCGAAGCAGTTGTTCCCGATAGAAGAAGATTTCACTCAAATGTCACAAGTTGATTGTCATTGTCATATCGAATTTGATGAGGCCCCAGCTTCACTTGAATACCTCTACTCTACTTCTTAAGCACCTCTTTACCTGTTGGTTGCCTTGACTGCCTGTTCAATATCTAATATAGATGACATAAATATATATTTTCTACGAAGTCCCATACACCAATCACATTGCAAGAATGGGTAGAATGAGCTCTCCAATTTCAATAGAAATTTACATAATCACGTTCGGCATTTATTTATTGATGCATGCGAGTACACCGAGAAAAAAAGAGAACAAAATAATATAAAAAAAGTCGAAATAATAACCATCTATTTCATATGCTGGTGGTGACCCAACACAGAATTGTTATTGTTGTGTTATGCTGTGCGGTTTTATGCGGGTCACTTGAGCGATTTTACAACATTTTATGCGAATTGTGTGTTGCATTCGAAACGAGTTTATATAACGACAACAACAGCAATAACAATGTGAACAAATCGAAGGAAAATCATGCGATAAGCGAATGCCATCCGTATCAGGATGTGAGTGCGTGTGCGTGTGGCAGCCACAAGTTGCAAATACAATTTTCATACATTAAAGCACACCAAATGCAATACAAAGCTCTCATGTGTTAATGGTTTAACCTTAGTATTAACTGTGAAATGCATTTCGACCACCCTTCAACTTCAGTCTGTTATCAAATTGAGTTTGAATTTTGTATATTTTACTAATATGCATAAACAAATAGAATTTCATGCTTGTTTTTGGCATCTTATCTGCTTACCAGTTCTCAATATTTACATTCGATGTACTTGGATATAAATCTTAGTTATAAATTCAAGCACAATTTGTTATTCAACTGTCTAATTACAAACTATTTGTTTCTACTTGATTTGAGTACAATGTTCTCTCCAAATGTAAAATTGGTTTTCAGGCTGGTCCTGGCATTTTATCTCGGAAATAACTACAGGCAATCTTAGTTGTAAATTCAAGGACACATTGTCCTTCAAAATATCTTTGTATCTATCTAAACAAGCATTTCAATCTCAGTTCGATAACGTCTGCGCTTCACTTGATATATACTGTGCTCTGTAAGTGTAAGGTAGCATTTAATGCTGCTTTTCACCTCTGACATTCAGTCTACGTTTATAAGAATTGTAACAATTATTATCTGCATCACTTTGCGCAACGTAAAATGTAGCTGATGGCGCCGATGGACGCAGCAATTTGGAGGCAAACAATCCGAGCACGACGGGCACTCAGGCAGCTAGTCCAAGTTTGTCGTTCTGGTATCGCTTAAATCGCATTATTCTGCGTCTGTGCTCGACGCATCAGTTTAAGAATTTGCAGGTAAGCTACTTACTTAATTTCATTTTTCAACTAGTCGTATTTTTTTTCCATTCATTTGGGCTTCCAAAGTCGAATGGCAAAACTCAATTGTGGGCTTAACGTCGTTTCGCATTCGCATTCGTTTTCGTCCTTTCGCTTCGGGTTGAGTGCGAAAATCTCGTGGAGCAGATTTCAATTTCATTTTTCACCTACGTTGGACAATTTACCTTAAGTCGTTTTTTTTCATTTATTTTCGTTTATTTGCTAAATTTTTGCCAGGTGGAAATGCTATATCAGCGTTATTTTCTGCGCATGAATCAAAGTAATACGACGCACATTCTGGCGCTGCTGCTGACACTGATTCTGGCATTATCCTGCACTCACATTGTCTTCACCACGCTGCAGCTGCGTCGCAACCTTGCGGCATCAACTGTTGCAACGGCAACTACTTTGGAGCGCCTCTCGTTAGCAGACAATGCAACTGCAACCAACGAGAACGTAACGCACTTTACGTCGACCCTCAATCAATCTGCGGTGTTCGTTGCAACAATGCTGGCAACGCCGAACCCAACACCAACTGTAAATGGCATTGAGCGGAGTGGCCGCAACGTTAATGCATCCCAGCGGCTGGATGTGGTGGCATCCAACTGGGAGCCGGGCGGACGCAGGCAGAAACGGAAACATTATCGACGCCGCCTGCACAAGCATCGCTACAAGCCGCAACACAAACAGCATCGGGCCAGGTGAGTACCAGGATCCAGTAAAGTGCTGCCAAACTTTGCCAATTTAAAACAATTTTAATCAGACGTCAGCTCAATAAAACTGATGCTGACTTATCTTAAATAATATATATATAATATATATAATATATATACAGCACATATGCGATTTATGTTGGATAACAATTTCAATTTAATCCGAACCGGAAATTGTGCTCTTAAATAATATTTTCATTTGGCAGCCCAACCATAACTATAGGTATTGTTTTTAATAATCGGTTTATCTCTGACAGCATCAGGTTAGGTTATTGTAATGGGGTATTTGAACTCATCTAAGCTTTAAGACTGGACTCTAGTTATATTTTCCAGTTGCAACTGGTAATCATGATTACAGAGATAGTTTAAAAATCGATTCATTTCTGGAAGAGATTAGGCAATGGGAAATTCTAAGTCATCTGTACTTTTTAAGGGTAGTCTCTAGTTTTATTTTGCTATTGTTTTAGTAGTTATATATATAATCTGAAGTTGGCAACACTGGTGAACAGCCGCATCCGCAACTGGTAACAGGAACTGGGCTTACTTACAGAGTTGTTGGTGGTTCAGTTTGCCGTTTTGACAGGCAGGTTATGCAAACAATAAACACAACAACAAGAACAACCACAGCAACTGGTGAACAGGAAGGCTGTTGGCGAGCTGTTTTCCCTGTCCTGATTTTACAACACGCATTACGCATACGTCCCCTTGGGCCAACGCTTGTCGTTACGTATTCCATCTGAGGAGGCCCATAAAAGTATGCTTTGCCTGCCACAAATTGTTTTTGAAGTTAAAATTAGAATACAACAATTTGGCAATAAACAAATCGCATGCAAGTAAGACCAGAAATTGGCAACATAAACACAAAGAGCTCTCGCATATTTCTCGCACCCAGCTAAAGCAATAAACAAGTCAACAAATACATCAATAAAGCGAAAAGAGAGAGCGAGAGAGAGAGAGAGGGAGAGATCCTTGGACCGCATTTGTGCCAAGGAATTTCCATTTGCATTTACATTTCATTTACGTTTACGTTTTCGATTTCGATTTATTTTCATATTTATGCCGTCAAGATGGATAGTGTCTGTGTGTGTGCGTGTGTGTGTGTGTGTGTGTGTGTTGTGTGCATTGAGTTAGGCTGAGCTAATGCCCGACTTATTGACATATATATGCGTATCGAAATTGTTTTAGTATTCACTTCGAACTTACAACCGTCTCTACCCCTTCCAACCCTGCACCCACCTTTCAGATACAAACGTGCCACTGAGCCGCATAAACTGATTGTTGACATTGGCCAGCCGGATGTGGCAGCAGCCGTAGCTGAATTTGATGTCGATTTAGATGATGGCATTAAACGCTTTACGGATCCACGTTTGTCTTTCGCTAACCGCCAGCAGAAACGTGATGAAGTGTTCACCCGGACGCCGATTGATGACGTTGTCAATGCCACGTTGCAGGACCAGAAGGAGCAGCAATGGGAGCAACAGGAGACGGTGCTATTTGACTTGGCCGATAATCGGAATGGTTCATCGCATTACTCGTATGCTCTCTACACGATGATGACGCAAATCGATGAGTCTGTCCTGGTTTTTCTCATTGTCATGCTAATCTGTGGCATTGTCTATGCATGTGAGTACAGCTCCACTTGAACAAACTTTGATGCCACAAATTGTTGTCAATTTTGCACCACTTGCTTTTAATTGTGCAACTGTTTCTCTTTTCTTCTTCGTTTTTTTTATTTTTTATTTTTGCCTGCAGTCCTGCTGTGCATCCTTTCAAAGCCTGCGATGAATGAAATCATTCTGGTGCTCGTCTCCTACGTCATATTGGGCACGTTTCTGGCCATTGAAATTGCTGTTAGCTATGCCATGCAACCGAGGTTTGTACACTCAAAAAAGCAGCTTGTGGGTTAAATAAGAAATGAGTCCCATTAATAATATTCAACAAGCAGATTTGCAAATATTTGTACTCAGTTTGTAGCATATTTTGTGGCAAATTTTCTCAGTGTCCAGTTAAAGTTGGCTTACACAGCTGTTGCCTGTCAGCAGAGAATTAATCATGGCTTCAGCTGTTGCTGGCTAATTGCGTTCAGGCCAAAAATAGATGATAACAATGCCGAAGCAACTGCTTTCAGTTTGCAAATATAATGAATAGAAAGCTGTGGCAGGTGAAGGCATGGATATGGGAATGGGTCGGGAAAAGCTGTTTAATATATTTAACTAATGCTCTTTTTTGTACAACAAACAACAGCAAGTGCTTCAATGGCAGTGCTTGTTGCATTGTCCTCATCTACATGACATACACGATGTTGCCGCTGCGTTTGCGTGAGTCTCTCATCGGTGGCATGCTGCTCAGTGGCACGCACTTGTACACCTGTCTCCACACACAGTACACACTGGATAAGGAGCTGCAGCAAATGCTGCAGGCAACGGAAACGATGCCGCCAACGCAATCATCGCAACTGTGGCAGGAGGTAAATGGAACAATGTCTAGTTGTACACCATGTTGTTATTGTTGCAGCTGTTTTTATTGTTTGTGGCTGCCACAAATCATGTGAGTGGTGACATCTATCAACAGGTTCTGCAGCTCGCGGCACAAACAAAAGCCACAAAAGGGCGTTCGCGTGCGTAAGGGCGTGGCAGTCAAATATTAAGGACGAGTCCTTTAATAAAATGTTCGTTCGAAAATTAAAGTAATGAAAGTGCTGAAAGATATTTTGAACTACTGTTTATAAGAAATTATTGATATTCAATTATAAAATAATTTAGAGATTTATATGCATAACGAAATTATAATTAGAGTTGCTAAAATGGAATTTAAATCAATCGAAATGAGTCAATTCAAATGCTATTAAATCGAATCGCAATTGAATATTCATGAATAACAGTTGCAGAGTGCACGTATCTCTTTCTGTCTCATTAAATTTGTGCAAATTAAAGTTTTGTTCTCTCCAGCGCCACGAGCGTGACAATAAATTCGCTTAAAATGTATATTACACACAAACAAACAGGGAGTCCAGGTGGGAAAACACTGAAATAAATTAAATTAAATGGCCGCAAAATTGAATGAAATGGCGTTTGTGTGTTTTCTCGTAACTGGACTCTCTCTCTCTCTCTCTCTCTCTCTGTCTCTCTCTGCCTCTGTCTCTGTCTGTCTCTGTCTTGTGCTGTCATCGATATGGATACTTATGCCTTAATGCCATTAAAATGCCTCTCTACCCTTCTCACAGCTGCTGTGCACTTGCATTGCCTTGTTGTTGGCCAATCTGACTGGCGTCTATACGCACTGGCCCAAGGAGAAGGCCCAAAGGAAGGCCTTCATCGAGACTCGTCAGTGCATTGAGGCGCGTCTGCGGACACAGCGCGAAAACCAACAGCAGGTGAGTGATTGACTGACTGAATGATTGAGTGAGCGACTGAGCGACTGAGTGAAGTGTTTGGCCAGGCGTCGAATGTGTGGCAAAACCTGTCAAAGGTTTTCAAAACTGCGCAGCAGTTGACAATCACAAAAAAATGTTTCATCAAAGAGTTGCCGTAAATGAGAAACTGCGAAAGCACACATGCGGCGCCAGGCGACACATCTTGGGGCAGCCATTAGGGGAGCAGTAAGGTGGGTGTGGCAATGACTTGTTGCCCGCCTGCCTGTTATCCCGTGTGTGCCAAGCTGATAGCAAAAGCAAACAAACGTGGAAAAAGCACAAATTTCGACTGTCATTTCAGCAGCCAACCTCAGTATTTATATCTGGGTGCACTCAGAAAAAAAGTCAACCTTAATTTTAGAAAATAGTCCCGAAAATTATACATATCTTTGTTGAAAATTGAAATGAAAAATGAAAAATGTTTAAGTTGTGAAATGAAAAACACTTGTTTTTAGATATACTCTTTGTGTGTAATAAAGTGAGTTATCCATGTAGAATTTTTAAGATGTAGAGAGCATTTTTTTGCTGAGTGTGTGTGTGTGTGCTTGTGTGTATTTTAGCACTTATATGCTGTTATCCTTTTGCAGGAGCGACTGTTGCTCTCGGTGCTGCCGCGGCACGTTGCCATGGAGATGAAGGACGATATTGCGGGCCAGCCACGTGACACACAGTTCCATAAGATATACATACAGCGGCACGAGAACGTCAGGTGGGTGTGTGTGTGTGTGTGAGTGAGTGTGCGAGTGCGTGTGACTTGTTAGTCCCGTTACTGTCTGTGTATAAAATTATTTGCATGCAAAGTCAATAAATTTGCTTGATGTGTGACTGCGTCTGTGTCTGTATGTGTGTGTGTCGGAAACCCGACCAATGAATTTATATAAATGTCAAGCAACAACTGCAGCACATTACCAGCTGCCACACACACAATTACACACACACACACACACACATCCATACACAGACTTACACTCAGCATTAAGCAAGCTTCGGGGCACACCTGTTTGCTTTTTGACTCGCTTTTGTGTCTTTCGCCTCGTTACACCCTTTATTTTTTTTGGCTGCGTATTAAATTACGCGCTGAGCCGATTGAGCTGCTCTCAAAGGAACTGTCTTCGTCCTTGCTGGGATTTGGCAGCAGTCAAAACTCAAACCATTTCGGCATGCTTTAAGAAGAAAGTTTTCTGCTTTTTGTTGCCAGCTGAATTTATTCAAGAATTTCGTTGATACCCACACACAAACAGAACAAACTATGCATGAATCCAACAACAACAACAACAGCAGCAGCAAGCACAAAAAGTTGTCACATTTGCACTTTTATCTGCACTGTGGTAACTCTACTTCTGTTTTCTCTTCTTTCCTTCTCCTCCTGACTTCTCTACTCATCTCCTCTTTTTTTGCAGCATCCTCTTTGCGGACATTTGTGGTTTCACAAGCCTGTCAGATCAGTGCACAGCCGAGGAACTGGTGCGTCTACTCAACGAGCTATTTGCACGGTGAGTCCATGTCCCATGCCCGCATGCCCTGTCCAGTCCAGTCCAGTCGAATCCCTTGACTCGAGGCATACTTAATGACATGTCCTGTCCTATCCTGTCCGAGTGTTTTGTTGTTTTTTCTTCGAACTTTTTGTGGAACTGCTCCGAGCATGTCCGACAGCCTAACAAATGGGTGTATGCTACGTTGTAACAGTGACACCATGGCCAGGTACAAATTAATTGCACATTCGAGTGCTTCTATCTGGCCTGGTCGAGCTTTGCTGCCAGCCAGCAAGCATCGTTTTCGGCTCGATTTTTGGTCCTCGACTTTGTTTGCAAAGCACTTTATTGATTCGCTCCGAATATTGCTGCAATATGGAGGATATTTACCCATTGCCTTGTGTTTGCCGAAAGCAGTGCCAAACGTAGTAGCTGGAATCCGCAAATATATCGATAAATCAGTTGCTTTGGTAATTAAGCTGGATTGGAACAAACCTACGCAGTTCACTTAAATTGAAAACTTCGGTTTGCCGAACTTTAATCTCTTGGTGCTTGAAACACATCATTATTTGTGGTTAACTACCTTTCCTTTGATGCAGCTTTGATCGATTGGCTGCCGAGCATCATTGTCTACGCATTAAGCTGCTGGGCGATTGTTATTATTGCGTCTCCGGTTTACCAGAGCCAAGGCCGGATCATGCTCACTGTGCTGTTGAAATGGGACTCGACATGATTGACGCTATAGCGTAAGTACTCCAACTCAATACACACAACTGTAACACAGCCTCAACAATGCCAGAGTTGTGGCTTTGTATTGTTGTGCTGCTTTTGTCATGTTAGTCCTTAACCACATGCTCCTTACCCCTTACCCCTTACCCCTTACCCATATCCCCTCTCAATCTATCTCGTTCTCAGTTTGGTGCGTGAAGTGATGGCCGTGAATGTGAATATGCGAGTGGGCATTCACACGGGACGAGTGCATTGCGGCGTTTTGGGCCTGGTCAAGTGGCAGTTCGATGTGTGGTCCAACGATGTAACGCTGGCCAATCATATGGAGAGCGGCGGCATACCCGGGTAAGTAACGATGTCATCTATATATTATGGAGTCAACAGCTGCGCCGGTTTTCTTAATCAGCAGCCTTTCAAATTAGACAATTGATGGGGGAAACCACTTCAAAGGGGAGTCCAAACAGAAGACAGATACAATAGCATAAACAATACCTTAACCCCTGCTGGCTTTGTCTTTGTTGGCTTGATTGTTTTCTTGGCGACAGGCTTAGCAAATCACTTGAATCATCCTTTGCTGGTCGGTGGTTACTGGTGGTCACTGGTCACTGGCCAGTAGTCAGTTGTTAATAGTCAGTGGTTTGTGGTGTGCCGTGTGGCGTGTGCTACTTTACGACAGCTGAGAATTATGTTTTTGACCCGCTTTGATATGCGCCCGGACAAGTATGCAATGAAAAGCAGTTTCGTCCTTATCGCTGTGTTACGCCCACGATCCATTGCCGGCCAAAACTTTAGCTTCAGGCGCCAACTACAAAAGCCGCTGACAAGTTTGTCTCATTTCCGTTTTGACAGTGCCCCTGTCTCTCTTCCTCCTTCTCTCTCCCTCTCTCTCCCCCCCTCTTCTCCGGATGGAAATGTCCTGCAGTTAAAGGCAACTTTTGGCAAGAGCCAGGCACAATGTTTTTATTGTGCTTGCAGCGGTTAACAGGAGCGGATTGAAGTGCTTTTCTTATCTATTATAATTCAAGTGGATTTTGTGGTTTCTTGTTTAGCTTTGATGAACTTTTTCCTGATTTTATTTTTGTATGCCACACTAGCTTTATGCAAACCTTAACTTCAAGGCGCCATTTCTTTATTAGGTCCGCTCCTGTTGCGCTCCGTTTTGCCTGACTGTATTTTATAGGAACTTTACCCTCTCAACACTTGGCCAAGTGTCGCTGCAGTGTGTGCTGTAATGGTTGTAATGCCTGTAATAGCTGTAATTGTTATTGTTGCTGCGCAAATTTGCATACTCAGCCACAGTATGTGTGTGCGAGTGTGTGTGTGTGTGTGTGTGTGTGTGTGTGTGTGTGTGTGCATTGTGGTTAGTGTGTGGGCGCCAAGTTATTGGTAAGTCAATTCACAGTTGCCCCGCCAACGCAACCCGCCCTCGAATCGATTATGGAGTTGTTGCATGCCACGCCCACTTCATAGCCCTTAACTGGTCGGCACTTAATGCTGCTGCTATTGCTGCTGTTGATTCAGTTGCTTCACTTTCAACAACACTTCAGCAATTTGTTTCAGCTCGACTTTGAGTTCGTCCTTTCGCTGGCAAGTGGGTCAGCAGAAACAGCAACAACAGCAGCAAAAGCAACCACAAAAGCAGCTCGTTTGTTAGTTCTGTCTCGAGCGAAATTAAAAGCAAATAGCTGCAGTAGCAGTAGCAGTGGCATTGGCTGAGGCAGTCGCAGTCGCTGTGGCAAAGAGCCTGATAAGCGGCAATTTGGCAGCAGTAGAGATGCATGTCAGCCTCGCGTTAGCCGCAGGATTTCAGCTGAACAACAACAATCCTTAACAGAAGCGCTCTGTAATTATCAATAGAATTAACAATGCGGCAGCACAGTGTGCTGCAGCTATTTCTGCTGTTTGCTGCCGCACATTTTTGCAAGTGCTGTTGCCCAACGGCGCGTAGCATGTGACACGTGGTTCGTGGCACGTGGCTGCCTGTAATACGATAATATAATAAGCTTTTGCTGCAGCTCCAACACTCTCTTTCTCTGTTTAAAAACGTATTCACTGCGACACAGTTGACACACATACAGCATGTGGCATGCGGCGCATAACATGCCACTTTATGCGGCGGCCACAGTAACTATGGTTATGCCAACTAAAAAGGGCAGCTTAGGCATCACATGTTGCTACTGCTTCTGTTGCTGCTGTTGCTGCTGTTGACATTTGTAGCCGCTTACATGACACATCATGCAATACGTAATCCTCCTTCTCTAATCTCCTTCCGCAGACGCGTTCACATAACCAAGGAAACGCTCAAGTGCCTGGATGGCGACTATGAGGTGGAGGTGGGCAAGGGCGCGGAAAGAAACTCGTATCTCAAGGATCAGCAGATTGAAACGTATCTCATAGTGCCAGGCGATACCTACAGACCGGTGAGTGAGCAGCAGAATGAAGTATAGCTTCTTTTATCTGATCTTACTTTTGAGAATACTTCTTGTCCATTGCAGCACAAGAAATCGCGTAATCGTCTGCAGGTTAATGGCAATATTTCAAAGGAGTTGCGCATGATGGGTCACGGCACCGCCCAGAAGCACACATCCAAGTAAGTGGCAAAGATCAACAGTAAACCTCCACAAACTGTCTACCTTTCACTCACTCCAATGGCAGATTCGGTTTCGGCGACAGCTCGGAGAGCACCAAGGATCCCGAGGATGAGGTGAATGAGTATTTGATGCGTGCCATCGATGCCCGGAGCATTGATCATCTGCGTGCCGAGCACTGTCAGTCGCTGTTGCTCTGCTTCAAGAGCGATACCCTGGAGCGCAAGGTGAGTAAATTAGCTTAAGACCTGACTTGGCCTAATCCTCATATACATCATGGTTGCAGTATGCCAGCGAGCCGGATCGGATGCTCTGCGTTTACTTCTACTGCAGTCTGCTTGTGCTCCTGGGCACCACTCTGATGCGCTTTGCGGTTTTTGACAGGTGTGTGTGTGTCTGGCTTTTATTTTATACTCAATGTTTTGCCTTTGTTGGGTGCTAATGCGCACTGCAGCCCATTATCCTTGAGCTTATGGAGCACCTTAAGTCCATAAATCTACTCTCTCTCTCTCCCTCTTTCTCTCTCTTTTTGTCTTTCATGGCTGCAGCTCCACGCTTTGTTTGGTTTTGTCTTTTGGCGCTTTGTTGCTGCTGCTTTTGCTCGTCTTTTTGGTGGCCTGTCATGATATGAATTTGCGGGTAAGTGAAACCGTTTCCATTGTATTCGTCTTATTAACTATAATGATTTAAGCACAATATGTGCTATGCAGATAAAGAGATATGTGTATATAAGCAATTCAAAATAAAAAAAATTCAACTGGAATCTTTCCATCCTTCCACAGCCATAAAATTGACAATACTTCTATAATAATAATAATAATTCCCGCTCGAAATTCTATTAAAAATATACCCTCACAAAGTGCTTTACAACTCAATAACTTTGTCAAAATTCAACTGATTTTCAAAAACAAGATCCTTTTCAATCTCTAAATTAATACTACATTCCATTTTTGAAACACGAATCGGGCTCGAATTTCAATTATAAACTTTACCTTCCCGAAGCGTTTCTGCTAAAACTCTCTAATGCCAAACCTTTATTGAAACTGAATCGATTTTCATAATAACTAGAAATTTTTGTCGATGCTTTGATCTAAATATAAAAAATTCTATTAACATTATACTCTGATTATTTCTTTCTTCTTTCTAACATATATTTTTACAGCTGCCTGTTGGGATGAAGCGCTTCTCACAGCGAATCCACAGCAATCGCACCTTGTCGCAGTTCTTCGCATTTGCGACAGTTATGCTGATTGTTTTGAGCACGTTGCTGGCCATGGTAAGCGCAAAACACAAATGAGGCTCTTAAGTAGTGCTTTTAGTTATAATAACATAAACAATGGCCAAATCCCAGAGAATGCCAAGTTTCCTTTTCATGCATAATTCGGGCGCACAACAAATTGTGGCAAATGTATACAAATACATCTCTATTTGAGTCGTTGCCTGCCTGACTGGCTTTTTTGGCCATTGAAGTGAACTTCAAAATAATAAAAACGAAATTTACGTTTTTGCAGCTCAAAATATAATTTTTGAAGGCAATATTTTTCTACTTTATTGTTGTTGGTATTTGAGGACGCGACAAAACAAAAGTTTTTCCATTAAAGTTGCTCAGACAACAAGAGCAACAGGAGAGATGGGAGTGGCAGTGGCAGTGGGAGGTGCTATTCGGGCAGGCAGACAGGCTGGCAGGCCACCAAAATGCCAGCCACGTTTCATACATGAAGTGTGCGGCATTTATGCGCTACTTGTTACCTGCGACATGCCCCAAAGGCGAACGCGTCGCTGACTCCGTCTGGGTTCAAAGACACCGCCGGCGCTTTGACATTTAGTTGTCAATTTGTGCCTGTCTCCTCTCTCTCTCTGTCTCTCTTTATCTCTATCTCTCTTTATATATCCACCTGTCGCTGTGTGCCCGCATTTTTTATCGGCCACGTTTAATGGCACTTTGGAGCCGCATTCGCTATTCATTTAGCCAGCTTTTTTTATGGCCATCAGTGAGGCTGAGAGTTTCGTGTTAGTCGCCTCGTTAAACTTTAAGCACTCGTAATGGCATTTCCAGGTGACTTCTTCTTCTCCATCTGCTAATTAGCCCTCAATTGTATTCGCTTTCTCTTTATAGTTGCAGGAATCGATGCGTCAACGGGAGCTCCTGCATAATGAATTGCCCTGGCTCAACCTGAATAGCAGCAGCCAACTCAATCAGGCACAGCAACAGTTGTCAGCTGCTGGCTCTGATTTCTATTTGGCATACAATGTAAGTTTTAATGGCTATTGACAAATGCAAAGGAAAGTGTATCAAGGATACATTGATGTTTTAGACAGGCGCAATCAAGGTTGTATATTTGTGATAGCACATATTTATTTAACAAGATACCTTGGCCATTGTGTAACTATATAAGTTGGTGGCATGCTGATTATGGCTCTCATTGATGACTTGACAGAGACAAACGCATCCCTTCTCAATTGGCCTGTCATCTCTATCTATTGAGGAACTTGCCTTTTCTTAAGGCTTGTCACCTTGTACATAGATCTTATCACCTTGTATATAGTTTCACCATGCCTTGGGCACATTAAAAAATGAAAAGCTGAATGCAAAAACTTTTCAATCTCAAACCACACTTACAGTTTGCAGCCATGCGAAAAAAGACCCGCGTAATTTGAGTTGAAATACGCTTTTTCAAGTTATCTAAACTAATTTCCTCCACGTATTATACTACAAGTTCTTGTTACATCCTGGTTGCAGACATTCCTGCTGTTAACGCTGCTCTCGATGATGTGCTGTGCCACGTACCAAGTGCTGCGGCTGGTGCTGAAGCTGCTGCTGCTCCTTTTGGCCGCTGGCAGTTATATGGCCTGCTCCTCATATTTGTATGTAGCGAGCAGTAGGGAAATAAGCGTCGACTTGGCGTAAGTATGCCAACCACAACTGCAAAGGAAGTTTGCAGAAGGCGAAGAAGAAAACTGTTAGCTGAATGAAAACGAATTATGGTGTAATGCAATTTGATGCAGCGTGCCCCATGCCAACAACAAGCCGGGCAACAGCTGAAAAATACTGAAATGCATTTACAGCAGCCGCAAACTGCATTAAAATTGTATTTAGCACTCTGCCGTTGCCTTCATTTATCAGCCGAATGCCAGCTGAGACTGCTTGGTAAACTGCACCACATTTCAGTTATGTTCTCTATTCTGCTCTGTTCTTATTTTATTTCCACCCTATATTGTGCTTTAATGGACTGGAATAACTTGGTATGCGGCACTTTATTGCCACTGCAATTGTAACTGGTGCTGGTGCTGGTGCTGCATTAGCAACGAGGAAGCCTTGCTTCGCTATATAATTGATTCCATCTTCCTATTTGCGTTTATGCTCGCCCTCATCTTCCACAGCCACCAAACGGAGGCCACATATCGCCTGGATTTCATCTGGAAGCTGCAGGCAACGGGTGAGTTTAGCCAACTTCAACTTATTTTCGGCAGCTAATTAGCAAATGCAACTGCAAAAGTTAAAACGTCAGTACAGTATAATAAGGCAACTGACAGTTGGGGACTGACTGACAGACTGACAACAACAACAACAACAAATAATCCCCTTTTCACTTTAATAACACGCTTTTATGCCAAAACATTTGCTGCTCATCTTGCGCGCTTCCGTTTGCTCTGGTGCAGAGAAGCCTTTTCATTAGTATTAGTACACACACTCCACCCACACCCACACACCCACGCACCCACACACCCACGCACTCACATACACTCGACACCCTTCCACACTCACTAATACACTCGAAAAGTCATACTCATGTTTGACTGGCGCCTAAGCTGCTGCAGCGCTTTTTTACGCCTCACTTTTGTGTTTGTCAAGCTTTACAGTGGAGTTGATACATATGAAATCGCTTCAGTTTCAGTTCTACTTTAAAGTGATGAACACATTTGAAATTAGCAGAGAAAGTATTTTTGTCAATCTATTTTATCTTATTCATTTTTTGCTTGAACTCACCGAAATCATATTCAATTTTAAATTTCGAACTTTACATCGACAGTATTTTCATGTGATTTATAGAATAAACAAACAACAACAGTCTTAAAACTGCCCATTTCAAAAGGTTTCATATAATTTAGAAGACAGATAAATAAACAGTGTATCTCTCTGGTCGTTGCACTGTCCGCTTCCAATTTTTTTCTGTATTTTTTCATCTCTTTGCTGTACGCTTTACGCTTCGGTTAACTGATAAACTGATATTTCAATTTCACGCTCCTGTTTTTTTTATACGCTTGTTTTCTTCTCCTTTTATGTTGTTGTTGTTGTTGTTTTTTTTTGATGTGTGTCACATTTTCCATTTCCATTATTTTGCAGAGGAAAAGGAGGATATGGAGCATTTGCAGGCGTATAACCGTAAACTGCTCGAAAATATTTTGCCCGTGCATGTCGCTGAGCATTTTCTGAGCCGCGAGAAGCACCTTGACGTGAGTATTATACACCTATACATATATACATAAATACTTTGCAACTGTAAATATAAAGTTATTACGTTACGTTGCCACTTTTGTTTGTGCGTGTGGGTGTGTGTTTGTTGGTTGGACCGCTGGCAATTTGTGGAGCATTTCTAAAGCTTGAAACTTTTGTGCGTAGCAAAAGCAAGGACAAACCGTTGCCGAGTTCTCTGCCCTGCCCCCAGCTGCTGCAACAGATCCTTTTGCCTTTTGCCACTGCCACTGGTCGCGTGTATGTGTGTGTGGTGTGTGTGTGTGTGTGTGTGTGTTGCGGCTTGCAACGGTTCAATGCGCAACGGGCACACATACTGCCGCATAACGTGCCACATTAAGTGTGCAATCAACAACTTTTAACCAAATCACAGAAGCAGCCACACATTTGGGAACCGCTGACGTGTGGTTGGCTCCGGATCCTGTTCCTCCCTATTTGCCAACCTGCCCGCCTCCCTGTTTGACTTCAAGTGTGTGTTTGACTCTCCTTCTGTATGTGTTTGTGTGTGTGTTTAGGCTCGGGGCTAGAGTTGACCACATTTCGTGTCTGAAAATCACACTTCATGAAATAGCCAATGAAAAAAAAAGATTACTTTAATCTAAACTAATATGTGGACAACTTTTATTTCTTCTTTTACTCCCATCTCTACTGTTTGCATTTCATTGAATTGTGCTCATTTGATTGATTTGCAGGATCTGTACCACGAGCAATGCGATTCCGTTTGCATTCTCTTTGCCAGCATACCGAATTTCTCGGAATTCTACGTGGAACTGGAGGGCAATAACGAGGGCGTCGAATGCCTGCGTCTGCTCAATGAGATTATTGCCGATTTCGATGAGCTGCTCAGCGAGGAACGTTTCCGGTGAGTGTGCCTCTTCCCACATTTCCCCCGTCTTCCGCTTGCAGCAACTTACTAAAGGGATTTTTGCAGCTGCATCGAGAAAATCAAGAGCACGGGTGCCACCTATATGGCAGCATCGGGGCTGACGGCCAATACCTGCGACCAGGTGAACTTTACCCATGTGACCGCCATGGCAGAATATGCACTGCAGCTATTCGACAAGATTGAGGAGGTCAACATGCATTCCTTCAATAACTTTCGCTTGCGCATAGGTGAGAAATAAGCAAAAAAGAAAAGAGGAAAATAAAGTACAAAACAAATTGGGACAGACATGAAGAAGTTTTCGTATCCAACTCTTTGGCAGCTGTTAAAGTTGTCTGCCAAATAAATTTGCCACAAGAGCGCAAAAGCTGACTTTCAGTTCAGCTCTCTTAAATCGTCTGGCTCTTTAAATATTTATACCCATAACTTGCTGCGAAACTGGGCAAAAGTTAACAAGTGGCTCGCTACTAAGACAAATTTTTAAAGTTTAAAATCCATATTTTTCTTCCTACGTCCAGGCATCAATATTGGACCCGTTGTTGCTGGCGTTATTGGCGCGTGCAAGCCGCAGTATGATATATGGGGCAATGCCGTCAATGTTGCCTCGCGCATGGACTCCACCGGTCTCGTGGATCACATCCAGGTGAGTTCAAAACTTTTGAGGAGATGTTCGTCGTTTTTGTTTTTGGGATTTACTTAGTCTGTCAAATGGGACTTTAAATAAATTAAAAAGCAAATTTGACAACAGCTGCGCTGGCGTGGGCGTTGCCAAGCCACGATACGCCCCCTTCCAATCAATAGATGACCGACCAGCAAGCAAAGTGGGCAACAGGCGGCCTGCTCAATCACATATTGTGTATACGCCGCGTGGGATTCACACAACTTTCACTAAAACAGCAACAAACCAACAAACACACCCAAAAACAACTTTTGCTTTTCGATTTTATTTGTCGTGCGTTGTCGATAAAAGCAAAGAGAAATAAATTATTGAGCGGGCAAGGACTAGGACGAGGGGCGTTGGGGGCGAGCGGCAGCTGACGGTTGACTGAGTGTTATCATGAAATATTGAGCCAAGGCTTTCGCTCTGATTACCTGTGCGTGCGTGTGTTTGTGTGTGTGTGTGTGTGGTTGTGTGTGTGTGTGGGTTTGCGTGTCTGTGCAAATGCTGTGCCAATGATGTTGACACATTGAATTTATTTTATTATCTCTATCTATCTCTTTCATTCTCTGATTGTTGCTCTTTTGGCAACTCCCCAACGAAATCCACACTTTCCCAGGTGACCCAGGAGATGCAACAGTTGCTCGAGTGCCGCGGCTTCGAGCTCACCTGTCGCGGCAGCGTCAATGTCAAAGGCAAGGGCTCCATGATTACCTACTTTCTCAAGGGCAAGACACAGTTGCCAGCAGTGACTGCTAACCAGGAGATGGAGCCACAGCTGACACAGCGACCAGTGAGTCCGGCTGGCACAGAAACGGAGCCGGAGACGGAGACTGTGGAGGCAACGGTTGTTGCAGCTGCAGCTGCAGTAGCAGCAGCAGCAGCAGCAGCTGAAACTACAAATCACGATGAGGATGATGATGACATTGATGACGATGAGATTGATCTCAATTCGAATATGCAAAACTTAACCGCTCAGCGCAGGAAATCGCTGTGCCGACAACATAATATCTCCTCCTCGTTCGGCACCAATGTCAGCTCGACGGGGATTACGCCCAGCCTCTCGAATAGCTCCAGTGTGGTCACGATTGGAGCACTGCCTGTGCTGCTGCGCAATGCTGCCAATGCTGGCAATCCGGAGAGCTGTGCCACGCCCACAGCGCCGCCTAGAACACTTGTGGCCGACCTCAAAGAGGAGATTACGCGCGATGAGAAGTGCACGCTAAAGGACTCGATTGAGAACCTGGAAATACTGCTGAAGAACAACATCAGCCTCTCCGATCTGAGCAACAAGCAGCAGCAGAATCTTCGCAGCGAAGTGGTCGTCGCTAGTTCATCCAGTTCATCGACAGCCACGCTGCGCAAACGGGACACAATTGTCAGCTTTAATGTGACGGAGACGTTGACGACGACAGCGGCGTGTGCGCAGCAGCAGCGCAAGCGTCGCTCCGTGACCACCTTGGCGACCAGTTGTACCACCACAACCACCCGACTGCTCTCCAACGAGAGCCAGAGCTCCACCCAAACAGCACCGGGCACGCTCGAGACGAGCGGTGGAGGAAGAGACGGAGTAGGAGTGGGAGCGGTTACTCCGGATGCTGTGCTGTTGGGAGCGGATGCAGTGCAGGATTGGGTGCCCAAAACGGCGACCTTGGAGCCGAATCGCAGTCCCATCAAGACCTCACAGTCGCTGAGTCCCATTGGCCTGGCCACGGAGGTGTTTGTGTTGCCCAACAGTCGCAGCATGATCCTCATTAGCAGCAACAGCAGCGGCGCCAGCTCCCAAGGAGCCAGCAGTCCCCGTCCAGGACTGCTGCAACAGGTCAGCACTTAAGGGGAAGTTATCAAAGTAAACAAAATAATTAAGTTTCTGTATATATGTATAAAATTGGAGCAATCAAGCAGAAAATAAGGAAGGAAAGATGGAGCGACAGCGTTGCCAGACTGTCAGACTAGACATGACTAGAAGTTTAGATTTATGTATCCATCAGTATTTTCCCCCGCTGATTGTATGATCTCGCATTTTTGTTGTTGTTCCCATCAGTCTCTACTAATTAGGGGTACTTACGACAACCAGGTGGCAACCCTGCATATCACAGCAAAACAATTTTGAATAAGAATTTATTGAGCACATTCACGAAAAATGAGGCACTGTTGCCATAGGCTAGATTTACGAGTAGTTGTAAGGGGATGGGTGAGGTGAGGGGTCAGTTGTACGGTTCCTATATAGTATTAGATGAGCAGGCAAGTGGCTAACTGAAATTCAACTCAATTTACAGGGTATCCAAGTTACGATCAAACAACACTTTCCCAGCTTTGCAATAGATAAATGTTACCACAACACGAAAATAATCAGTCAATTTAAAAAGAGATATCGAAAAAAGTTACAGCAAATATATATATAAATGTGTATTATTTAAATCAGTCTGAATTACGATTCCAGGACAAAAACATAAAGTTGAAGAAACTTTTCTTAATGCTCTGTGAGTTTTCAGAGCCGCTGCTATTTAAACAATGAACTAAAGATAAAAATGTTAAAACGCTTTATGTGTATGTTATTACTATAAAATATATAAATGTGTGTGTGTGTGTGTGTGGTGAGTGTGTGTGTGTAAGTGTGGTGTGAGTGTGTGTGTGTCTCAATGTTGCTGAAATCAACACTAAATTTACAAATATTTAAACTATGTTTAACGAGTACTTAAAACTGAACTAAAAACCAAAGAGCAGAAAAACCAAAAATGAAAATGAAAACAAGAACAAAAACCAAATGAATTCTCGCTGTGATTTCTATTGTAAATGTATAGATTATTTTATAGACTTGTGTTACATAGTTTTTAGCTTTAAACTCGACTTGTTCCCAATTGCACAATCTCGCTATAAATTGGCAAACTATTGATATACTATCGAAATTGTAATTGCGAACATGCTCAAACAAGTTGTATTATTACGATGTCCCTTCGACTGGCGGCTAACTTAAACTATAATTTAACTAAGTTTTTCTAAAAGGGTATATGATGTATGAGTATAAGAGTACAATTGTGTCAATTTAAGTGAGAAATGTTTAAATGTACTTAACGTAGTTCGCTGTTCGATTAAGTTAAATTCCATTCGATGTTAATTATTGTAAATGTGTCGCAAAATGTTGTTAATAAAATGCGCAAATTACTTGAGAAAACGCCCAACACACCATTTTGTGGCATTAAATGATAATTGAATACGCAAATGCTTTCAATTGAGGAATTATTTATTTACAGCGAGCGAAGCAGACGAAACAAGATACACACATTTAAATTGAAATAAAAAGGAGCTAAACAAGGATACTACATTTTGCGCGCTCGACGCCAGAGGAAATAGTATCCGAGCAGGTGGAAGCCAAAGTAAATGCCCAAAATGGCCAGCATATTGCGATAGATATTCGCCTCGTTGAAACCGTACTTGTCCAGCACATCCTGTCCCGTGTGGAAGCACGGCAAATCAGCACTCTCCCCAAAGCAGGCTAAAGTACAAGAAGAGAGAGAGAGAGGAACGCGGGTAATTCAATGCCCAGAGGGCTTTATTTCAGCTACGACTCACTGATGTTCTGCACACCCGACCATTGGGCAATTGTCATCGCCTCATTGGCATACAGCATCCACGATAGAAATTGCGTCCAGGAAAAGGCCACCGACAGTGAGCTATAAATGTGGGTTTGAAAAGGGTTAAGGGTAAAGGGTTATCACAGTTTGGACTGTGGCGATTGCTCACCTAATTTTGATGAAGATGCCCGACGTTATCATGATGATGTAATCAAGTGGCACCACATACGCCATCGCCAGCGGCACCGAGTTGAAGGCCGTTGAAAAGAAGCAGCCACAAGCTGAGGCCACATTCAGAACCAGCACCACACAAGTGGCCGTTATGCCAAATGCATACAAGTCAGCTCGAAGTCCGGTCATCCAATAGGTGATGGCCACAAACAGCAGCGGCTCAACAATCATGCCAGGCAACTGCCAAGACGAGTAACAGAGGGAGAGGGAGAGAGGAGTGAGCAGAGTGAGAAGCAGATAAGTAATCCACTAGTTACCATTGCCAATATGTTCGCCACGTAGTAGTGGGCCGTGGAATACAACCCGGAGCGAGTCTCGCGCATGAAGAGCGGAAAGCCGAGCGGAAAGACATTCAGCACGGAGTACATGGGATGAAATGTATTCTCCGCTATCATGATGAATATGGTGCCCTGCACTGCCTGCACGCCCAATTGGGTGAGTTCCGTTGTGCCCGCAAGGCAGGCGCCAACGATGAATGCGATGGCCATCTTTTGAATGAATCGCATCCATTGTATTGTGGGATCTCGGAGCATAGTTAAAGTCGCACGCAGCCAAACGATATAGAAGCGTTTGTACCACGGCACACTACGGAATGAATCCAGCTCCTTGTCGTATGGATAGTTACCAGACTGGGCCATATGTATCTCCAGATTGACGAGCATATCCCGTTGCTTGGCCGCCGAACTGACTGCAAACTGATCGCACAAATGCTGCGCAGAGCGTTGCGATGCCTGCTCATAGCCCGGATCAGTGGCCAGAACGCCAATGAGGAAATCCGCCGGATTATACGCCTCCGGACAGTAGTAGCCGTGATCCGCAAAGAAGTTCAACGCGTGCTGTGGTGAGCCAGTGAAGGCGACACGACCATCTGCCAACAACATCACATTGTTAAAGTTGTCAAACAACTGTGAACTGGGCTGTGAAGAGCAGCATTTAGACTGGAGCAGACTGGAGCAGATCAAAGATTATACTAATCATTTACCTGATGAATGGTGCACAGAATGGTGGTGCCCTTCTGGGCCAACTCATGCAGTGTGGCCACCAACTGTTGAGCGCTGTACGAGTCCAGACCGGTTGTGGGTTCGTCGCAGAACAGAATCACCGGGTTGTTGAGCAGCTCGACGGCAAAAGCCAAACGCTTGCGTTCCCCGCCAGAGAGAACCTTCTCGTCATCGCCGCTGCCAATGCGAGTGTGGGATGTGGAGAGGAGTCCAGTGCGCTCCAGCAGATCCTTGATAATCAGGCGACGCTCCTCGCCCGAGATGCGGCGATCCAAACGCAGATTGGCCTGCAAAAGAGGAAGGAGAGGAGTTTACTTAGAGGAGAGGAGTATTAAAGAGAAGAGCTCTCAGCTGACCATAAAGTTGAGATGCTCGAGCACTGTGAGGGCGCCAATGAAGAGATCATCCTGATAGACATAGCCACTGATGCGATGCATGAAGGGCCCAACGCGGCGACCATTAATCAGTATATCACCTTGAACCACAGTGCCAGCTGCAGCAGGAGCCACATGAGATGAAAGTGGGAAAGAGGGGAAGGGAATGGTTTATCTTATCGGCGGAGTCTGTAGATTAAACTCACCTGGCTGCCTATAGGCAAGTGTTGACATAAGCGTCGTCTTGCCAGACCCACTAGGAATGAGAAGTGTTATTCATTTGTTAGTTTGGCATGGAAATACGTAGTAGATGTCTAAGCCTCGAGAGTGTGTCTATATCTCTCTTATCAGTCAAAGATTAGCGCTTGAGTGCGCCACACTAACCGTAACCCAGTTAGATGTGGAATTTATGGTCAGAAGATCAACTGGTTTGGTCCACTTTTATTTTTTTGGACTGCTAGCCATATCGATTACTGTTGCACAAGTTCACACTTCAGTTGATCCACATGATGCACCGCTCACCTCGCGCCCATCAGAGCCATCAGCGAACCGGGTTGTACAGCGCCCGTGGAGTTATTGATGATGCGCTTCATGCCACGCCCGGAGCCCACATTTGTGTAGACGCAGAGATCACGCCAGACGAGTGTCGCCCCCTGCTCCGTGGGCGACCATTTGCTATAGCTTCGCAATGGCAAACTCCGCTCCGAGCTGTTGCGCTTGGATAGCTTCGGCGTAGTGTCCGCGCTGCCAGTGCCACTGCCTCGACTGACCACCACCTGCAGCTCGTGCTGTTCCTTTTCCTGTTGCTGTGGCACATCAGCCAACAACTGTCTGCTATCTGAAGAATCCGACGACATCTTTTATCTTCACTCTTAATCAACACGCAATATGCCGACGAACCAACTCGATCGGCAGCCAGATGTTAACTGAGCCAACACACGCTGAGTGCCAGCGACCTTAAGGCTAACGATGCAGTCAAGATTGTGTCTCTTTAGGGTGGCCCTGTTGCTAGCTGAGGCAGCATTTGATTTCTGGCTGGCCACACCGGATGATGGGACGTGAGGCAAGTTGTGGCAGCAGCAGCAGCAGCTTAGTCAAATACATAGTTGAGGTCTCCAATTACCAGCGGCCGATGGCTCCAGCCAAAGGGAAGCCCTGCAAGCCGCATCCAGTAAATAAGTGCAACGGGAAAAATAAAGCGGCAATCGCTTCACATTTTCTTCTACTCTCTTTTTGTTTCGCAGCAAATTCGCTTTAATTGGCAAGCGCGTAGTGAGAACATACAACAATTGCCCACAACTTGACAACAGACCACAAACTGGTGGCTTAAAACGTTTACAACTGTTATGTAAGATTTGTTCTTCCTTCATTTTTGAACTTGCAAGCTCAAAATAATGACGTCTTTGATATGCATTCAAGCTTAAGCTTAACTTATGTCAAGCTAAAACGCTCGATTCTTTAACAGATATGCAAAGGCGACGTAAATTGTAAGGGATATCTTGTGAGGGACATCCCAGAGAGGTCAGATCCTAAACATGGCTTCCCTGAGCCACTGCAAATGGTTAACGTTTTAATAATGGCGAACTTGGTTCCTATATGCTCTTTTCTGATAATTACATAATCCGCATAATCCTGGAATGCAGTCCGATAGAGGAGGCTCTTGTGATTCTAGATTTGGACGAGTTAGAGCCTATATTACTCATAATATGAATGACAGAAAGCCATACTGCCAAGTCATGTCATCATATCCCAAATCGAGCAGTTGTTCGCTAGCTAGGCCATGCTCCACATGCAACTCATTAATCATGACTTGCAAAATAGCTTACTTTTACTTTGCTGACTGTTAAGGACCACCCTAAAATATAATATTAACATATGCCTAAAAGTATGCTGCAAAAATAAATGCTAGCCACGTATTTATCAATGGCGCGCAAATGTGTGCTTCTCAAAAATTCTATCCACACTAATTATTAACCACCCCGAAATTATGCAACAGAATAATAAGAATCAAACTGACCGCAAAAATATGCAGTGATATAATTTATTCGACTTGATATAATAAACAATTTAGTTTGAAATCCGCAAAAAAAAATATGGAGACATTTTTAATTAATAAATGATTTGTGCCAGAAAGATATTGACAGAGTTCTGAGACACGCAACAGCAACCGCAGCTTGTGTAGCAAACAACTGGATAACAACAAATGCAGCCTGACATCATTTCAGCCTAAGTTGCTGTTGTAGCTTCTGGAATGAGAAAGAAAAACAATTTGGTTAATTAAGTTAACAAAACAAACCTGCAGGCGAAACGACCAAGTGTAACTGAAATTGAACGACGCTCAACGCTCTCTGTTTACACTTGAATATGTAGACATATATATATATATATATATATATATATGTACTATAGAGAACAAGTGCATGTGCTTCTATTCCCATATTGATAAGACGCGTATAAGAACAATGCTCCAGCGGCGATTATAGGCAGTTGTTTAAGTCGTGCAGCACACCACATTTGATTGCTCCGTGCTTGGCTGGGGGTGCCTCAACTCAGGCCGGTATCTGATCACCAATAAGTGCAAAATCACGAAAATCGGATTATTCTATTTTGTTTTGTTTTTTTAAGTTTTAAATTTTTTTTGTGTGCAAAAAGGAAACAGATGTGTGTCTACATCGATATGAAATCGTGCTCAGCAATCGAACTCGAAATGTTAGACCGGTCGGGAAGTGCTATGTAATAGTTGTTGTGGTTCGTTATGATCTAATACGAGTAAAGTGCCTTTCCTTATCGAATTTCCAGGTGCTAATTAAATAATTTTTGTAATACTCGAGTTTTTAATCAATTATGAAAGAGCCTTAGATACCCCAACGATCGTATATATTATATTTAAAATCACAGCTACATGCCACAGGCTACAGTTATCGGATCATAAAGATATTAGGGTTATTTATACTTCTCTGCTAAATGTCTTTTACTTTCCATATGTTTAAAGTACTTTGCTTATCGCAAATACGCTGTCTCAGACGGATAACGCTTAACAGTTAAATAACTGCAATCTAAAGAGCTAAATAAGCAAACTCGTCCATAAAAAAAAAGCACAAAACAGTGATTAAATGCGAGTCGACGATCTTTAATGCAATCTACCTACTTATTACATATTTGTCAAGCTTAACAGAACTGTCAGCAATTTATATTTACAATAATTATCTTCTCCACAGTGCGAACAAAAAAGCAACAAATTTGTTACACTGCATGCAAATTCAAATTTTTTAACGGTAAAAAGCTCTGTTAGAGCATAAGAGCTTTTATGCATTGGCTTTGACCCCGCAGCACAACCCGCAACAACAAGAAAGCTAAGCTGCCAACGACAACGCAAAGAGCGGAGAGCGAGCAGCAATAATAAAACGAAATTGGCGCTCAGTGAGATGAGCGCAGCGGAGGTGAGACGTCTTATTAATGTTTTATTTTGTTTTGTTTTGTTTTGTCCATAAGTTCTTGTGCTCTCGTGTTTTTCTATAGAAGTTAAGTGTCACTAAATTCGAAAGAGAAACATGTGTCTGCTCACATATACATAAGCTGCATAGAATTCAACTTAATCGAGCAGCAAGCAGCAGTCAGCATTAACTGCGAAACATGTGTTGTGATTACGTATGCGCGGAATTGTGTTACGAACTGGGCGCTAAGAAGACGCTGAAACATTTGGTCGTATGGTATGCAGCATGTCGATTATTCTGAATTATACATAAGCAGCACACACTATTTATTATTTTTATTTGAAACTGCGGCGCACAGAAATATTTCCAATTATAATTATATAATTACAGACATAGACACAACTGTATCGAATTATCTTTGAACGAAAACAAACAAATCAAAACAGAACATGCTGCAAGCTCAAGACACAAGTCTGCGTTGCCGGCTGCGTAACTAAAAAAAACGTGACTGCGTGAGCTTTTATCTTTTGAAAGCTTTCAAGCGCTCTCTCTCACAGACACACTGACACACACGCAAGCAAGTTGTGTCATTGCCAACACAAACAGCGCTTGAGCTGCGACGCAAGAGACTCAAACCAAGACTCTCTCTCTCTCTTATTCGCTCTCTTCAAACACTCAAAAACATTGCATACTTTCAGAGCGGCGTCGAAAATGAGCGACGCGTGAGCATCGCGAGCAGCTCAGTTGCTAGCAGCAATGCCGTCGCCGTTGCCACAGAACGCCGCAGCATCGGCCAATGGCTGATTTACTGCATCACATCGATATCCGTGGAGCCGACGATGTTCCTGTACATGTTCGCCTTCATGATCACCTCGGTGGTCGAGCAGAATTTCTTCGTACAAAAGGCCTGCCGCGTCAATCGTAATTTCAGCGCCGAAATCTGTGATAACATCAATGCAGCGGAGAACGAGGAGTACAAGAAACAGGTGCTGGAGACGACAGCATGGTTTCATCAATGGGAGGACATCTCGGCGCACATCTTTCCCATCATATTGGCCCTGTTTCTGGGCTCCTTCTCGGATCGACGTGGTCGCAAGCTGCCACTGCTGATGGGTCTGGTGGGTAAGTTCATCTACTCGTCAATGATTGTGGTGAATGCCAAGATGCCCAGCTGGCCATTGGAGTATGTCATCTATACGGCAACGTTGCCATCGGCTGTGACTGGTGCCGATGTTGCCATATTTGCCTCTTGCTTTGCCTATATATCGGACATAACGACGCTGCAGCAACGCACAATTAGGGTGACCATACTGGATGTCATCTATTTGATGGCGATGCCAACGGGTGTCGCCCTGGGCTCCTATCTCTTCTACAATGTCTTCGACATGTCCTATGCGAATATGTTTGCTGTGAATGCATCGCTGCTGTTTACAGCCATTATTTATACACTGCTCGTCTTGAAGGTGAGTTTCTGCTGCTGCTGATCCTCAAGCTACCCATCTTCAAACTATCTGCTCTCTGCTTCAGTGGCAAACGACGCCCAATCAGCGCTCGTTGCGTGAGCTGGGCTGTTGCGGCTTTTGGGGTGATTTCTTTGACGTGCAGCACATCAAGGACTCGTTTGGGGTGCTCGCCAAGCGTCGAAGTGGCCATCGACGCACCTTCCTCTACATACTGCTCCTCAGTATGGCACTCTACACATTCCAGCGCGACGAGGGCAACTATTTGTATCTTTACACGTTCGATAAGTTTGGCTGGCAGGTCAGCTCCTACAGCACATTTAAGACATTCAAATCGTCAGCCTTTGTCATTGCCATGCTGTTAGCTGTGCCGTTGATGAACAAGGTGCTCGGTTGGCGCGATACGGTTAGTATTTCAAGTGGACACCCATCCCTTAACCATCGTGACTAAACCTCCTTCCTGATTTTGTTTGTTAGACCATTGTCTTTATAGGCACCTGGGCGCATGCGATTGCCCGCTTGTTTTACTACTTTGCGCAGGGTCCGGCACTTTTCTATGCCGGCGCCGTGGTCTGCAGTCTGGGACCCATTGTGGGGCCCATGATACGCTCCATGACCTCAAAGATTGTGCCGCAGTCAGAGCGGGGCAAGGTGTTTGCCCTGCTCTCCGTCTGTGACAATGCGGTGCCCTTTGTTAGCGGCGTTTGCTACTCCCAAATATATCGGGCAACTCTCAAAACAAATCATGGCGGAGGCATCTATCTGCTGACCATTGCCACCCAATTGGCCGTATTTGCCATGATACTGTAAGTGGAAATTCACTTCGATTCCAAATAGAATCTCTAATTGAAAATGGGTCTGTCTTTAGCTGCATTCACATTGTGCTGGGCAGAGGTTCACTGGCGGTGCCCGAGGTTCCGGAGAATCAGAGCGGACTGATCACCAACGAGGACTTGCAGATCAACACAAACAATGGGGAAGGGGACGAGGAGAAGCACTGAATGACTCACATATGTATATAAAAATGGGATATTAGTAATATAGAAAAAACAATGATTTTATACTTTTTCCTAAATAAAGCTGTGAAAGACCAATTCATTTGTAATTGAAATCAAATTTAAATTGGAAAAATCGAATCGTGAATTTCAATTTGAATTGCATTGAATTTGCACCCACCTTTGAGTTCACTTGTTCTTGGAGAGTGTGCGCTGTTTCTCGGCATGCTCCACCACCTGCTCATCGACGAAGAGTCCTTTGCGTCGTCGCACGCTGTCCATGTAGACTTTGGCGCGATTTGCCGAATCGGCTTTCTCGCCAAAGTGCATCAGTTCCTCCTCGGTTGTGGGCAGCCAGAAGGGATCAATATCAATCACCTGCAACAAGAACAAGAACACGAACAAAAATATAAGACATACGCAGAGACGCACACAGATCAGCAACGGGTCGTAGTGGCAGTTGAGAGGTCCCTTCCAGGAAATCATTTAGGCACAACGGGGCAGGACCTCGCCACTTGAGAAAGGACAATAGAGCAGACAACGGCGTCGGTTCGTCTATGCGCCTGCGCCTCTGATTCGATTTACGTGATATTTCATGAGTCCTTTATGGCAGGGTGTCTGTATCTACGTGTATGCCTGTGTGTGTCTGTGTGTGTGTGCTGGCAATCAGGGAAAGCATGCATTTTCACATCTATGTTGTTCAAGAGGCAAAGACATTCAAATGGCTGTTGTCTGATGGCTGATGCGCATCTTTAATGACTTTCAGGGACATTCCGCATTCGACATTCGACATTCATTGCGTGATAAGGCACGCCAGGATACGCAGAATTTTGGTGAATGGCGTGAAGTATTTGCTCCTTTTTTTTGTGTTCAGTGATTGATGATTGCCAACGCTCGCCAGCTACTACAATACTACGCTCTTCAACTCTCCCAGCTAGGTTTGAGGAGTGTGCGCTTCTGAGTGTTTTGTATTTTTGTATACCCTTGCAGAGAGGGTATTAGAATATTGTTGTATAGTTTGTAACGCAGTAAAGTGATTCTTTAAGTTGGATCATTGCTTGCAATGATTTACTCTCCAACTTTATAACAAAAATGTATTTGAAAATATAACTGACATCTGCTTAGGATACATATCTATGTCCAAAAAGGGTATTTTATGTTCGGCATCCCAAGAATATGAATGCTTGGCTATTTGTTTTATTGTTTTATGCGTTGCGGTGCCTGGCAGAAGGACGCGCACTTGAAGAACGCACTCAGCGGGCGGGTGTCGAAGGTGCTGTCTGTCAGTCTGTCTGTTCTGCAGAATACCAGACTCAATGCCAGCCCAGCTCAGCTCGCCAGAAGGAACTTTAGCATACAAAGTAATCTGTAGCTTCACAGAGTTGCCAGGATTTGGTTTCAGTTCGTGCGCAGAGAAACTTTATCGTTCTGGTTGTTGTTTTTTTGTTGTCTTTTTTTTGCACCATCTGTTCGCACTACGCTAAACTGCATACTCCTGTCTCCACACCCCCTTAACATGTAGATCATTATCGGGCACAAGGTTTCGCTTGTTTAACAACAACTAACAACGCCAGCTTTGGGAAAGGAGGCTCTGAGGGGAGGGCGGGAACAGCAGTAGCCACCATGATCACGACAACGACACGCGGCCGAGCTGAGCAGAGCAAGGCAATCCCGATCTTCAAACTGAACCTAAAAAAAACTATACTCAAATGTAAAGTGTGTGTGTGCCATCCTTTTGCACATGCGCAACAGTCGATAACAATAACAGCAGCAAGAACAACTCAGCAGCAGCAGCAACAGCCGCAACAGCAATTCCCGGCTCCCTCAGCCAGTTAAGGGACGCTGCTTTCCCTACGCACAACGCTTCGTCGGAAGAGCAGAAGACCAACAACCACAACAACAACAGCAACAACAACAATGCACAAAAACCCTTTGGCAGCTGAAGTGCTCCAGAAGTGCGCAAAGCTTGTGTCTGAGCCAGTCCAGACAAATGAGCAGCAATCGCTGCATACACTCAGAGAAAACAGCTGATTGTTTAACAGTGGACTTCGCTGCTCCATTTCAAGCAACATTTTCTCTACAAGTGTACTTGCCACTGATTTTCTGACAGTGTCCTACAAACTAAAGGTAGGATATAAAAAAAAACACTCATAGGTTGTTATGCACACCATGCTGGCAACAAAGAGACGACATCGGGGCCCCAATGACCTTAAAGGAATATTCACAAATATAAAAACGCAATAGTTCCCAAAAATATATAAGACGCAAATAAAGGAAAATGTCTAAAGCAAACTTTTTAAAAATGTCAAGTGATAAAAAACTAATAAATTAGATGCTAGATAAAACTAGACAGCATTTTACGATTACAAAAAAAGGTATTCCACTCGGCAATTAGTACTGTTTGAAGCAAGATCATTTGCTAAAGACTTGTTAAGTGTTACATTTCTTAACAATTTGTTTTTATATTGGCATAGATTTTGATCACATCGTATTATACATTATACGAGATGCATGGACGAGTTCCGAGCTTGAGTACCAAGTACGGAGCACTTGTCATCATTTCATGCAGTGCACTAATAAACACAAAACACACGAAAGACGCGTGAGGCGATTGTCTGTCCATCTGTCCATCTGTCTGTCAGTCTGTCTGACTGTCTGCAAAGATATATGTTTGTTTGTTTGTTTGTCTGTTTGTTTGTAAGTATGTGTGTGTAGACATGTGTGCGGAGTGTGTTTACCTGTCCAGCCGTACGTCCGCATGCAGGTAATTTACGCGGCAGCTACCGAAATACGCTGCTGTGGCAGGGGTAAGAGGCAGGGGCATGGGAAGGGGTCGCTGTCGGGGTATGACCAAAAAAAATAAAGTCCGAAGCGCGGTCCGCAGTCGAGATTATTATCGCGCGCCAGAAACAGAGCCAGAGACCGAGAGCCAAAGTTAGAGCTGAGAGTTGAGAGCTGAGCTGAACTGAACTGAGTTGGTGCCACAACCACAACACAAGAGCAACAGCAGCAGCAGCAGCAGCCACAACAACAACAACAACAACATAAATGGAACGTCCGTTGCGCATGCGCTGCAAAGTCGAGCCCCGTTGCCCCAAGACTCAAGACCCGAAGACTCGAGTCTCGAGCCTCGACGAGCGTCATTTTGACAGCGCGCACAATGCAAACCACGTTCCACTTAAGCAGCAACAACAACAGCAACCACAGCAACAACAACAACAACAATAACAAACTGGCTAAAGGATTGCCAGAGCCACTTGGATAAGCACTTGCCGGCTCGGACAAAACTCGCGTACAAAAATACTTTTTAAACACAAAACAGACACAAACACTCAGCAAAATAATGTTGCCCTCAAATCAAGTGCAAACCTTAACAAGTTTGAAATTCCAACAGCAATTCTAACCAATCTGTAGGATAAGCTAAGTGCGACTGTATGTAAATCAAGACTGTTATGCTGATTTTGGGATCGCTCTTTTTTCTCTGAGTGCACACACACATCTGTGTGTGTGTGTGTGTGTGTATGTGTTACATGCAGCGCAGACTTTAGGGCACTGCCACGGCCTCAACCTCAGCCTCAACCTCAACCTCGGGTCTTCGCCTGCTTTCCTCAATTGGAGACTTTCCCTTTGGTGCTGCTGCTGCTGCTGCTCTTGTTGTTGTTGTTGTTGCTGGGGGTCTTCACTTCTGTCTTCTGTCTCAGGTACAAAACGAGTTATCAGATTATTTGTTATTTGTCTTGCTCTGGCTCTGCTTCTCTTCCTCTTCTGCTGTTCTTTTTGGGTTCTGCTCTGTTTTCTGTTGTTGTATGCTCGTCAAGTATTTTATGTTTTTTTTTTTAAGTTATGCCTCGCATATGCAAAGCACAACAACAACAACAACAATAATACGCGACGCGTTAATGATAAACACTCCAAACAAGAACAACAGCAACAAAAACAACAACAACAACAGCAACCACTGAAAGGCACAACCCAAAGACGTATCCCCTCCCCTACCCATCCCCATTCCCATTCCCATTCCCATCCTCATCCCCGTCCACAACCCCAAACAGAAGAACTTCAGTAAGTAAGACCAGTAGCCAAAGCCGCTGTTTTTTTTTTCTTATTTTTTTTTGTTTTTTGGAGAAAATGTGGATTTGGGTCTGAAATGCTGGCAAGTCTGAGACGTTCATAAAAAATAAGACGTTGACTACAGCATTACCTGTGATGAAAAGAAAATGAGCTTACGACTTGATCTAATACACCGTTGAAAATTTAATAAGGTATACTTTATATTATGGAATTGAGATTATTATTTATAAGGGGTATGCATATTATGGAACACACATCTTGGCTGAAGAAACCTTCGCTATCTTAAAAATCGAATAAATATTATAGGAATTTACAGAATTATACAAGTTAACTGAAGCAGACACAGTTTCTCAGCAGAAAATACGCCTTTTGCAGCTGTACTTTTTTACAGGGTATGCAGAATCAAATAATAACAAAAGCGCGCAAGACGGTAGCAACGGCCACAGTAGCAGCAACAACAACAACAACAACAAGGAGCTTCGCGCAAAGATATTTATGCTGGCCATACTTCATTGTGTGTGTGTGTGTGTGTGTGTGTGTGTGTGTGTGTGTGTGTGTGTGTTTGTTGTGCGATGTGTGTGTGAGGCTTTAATGCGTTACGTGAAGTGAAAAATATACTCATATAAAAACTGAAAATTAGTTTTTATAGTTGCTGCTGCTGCTGCAGTTGTTGCTGCTGCTGTTGCGGTTCTCTGGCGGGACCAGAAAGGTCGACCCGACGGGGTCAGTCAACAACAATGTTGCAGTTGTGGCTGCTGCTGCTGTTGCTGCCGCTGCTGCAGCTGCGGCATAACGAACGCATTGTAGGCCATGATGCGGCAAGAAATTCAAATATCTACCACCCCAACCACACCCCTGCCGCCCCTCCCCACAGCCGCAGCCTTTTAGCCAGATTGCTGGTTGCCCCAGTCGAGGTTGGCTTCGTTGTTATTATGGGCACGTGACAACTGCGCCCACTCGCCGTGGTCAGTCAGTCTGAAGAGACGCTCACGCATGCGACTTGTCGACTTGTCGACTTCTGGAGTGGGCGTGGGCGAGGGCGAGGGGGGGCGTGGGTGTGGGCGTGGATATGGGCGCAGACGTAGTCGCTAGGCGATTGGGCGTTTGAGTTGTCTAACTGTTTAATTGTTTGGAAATGTCAGCGTCATTTCAAAATGGGCGAACTCAATCCGCCAGGTGACACACATCACAATTTGTTGTTGTTGTTGTTGTTGTTATTGTTGGTTGGCTTGTTTTCGGATTGTTGTTGCTGTTGTTGTCGCATTCTAATTGCTGAAAAAAGCGCACGACTTTAGCTTTCCCATTGGCTTGATAATAATGCACTTATTTGAGCTGCTGGCCAAACTAGTTTCCGTTTAGATTTCTACCAAAGACGGAAAGTTACAAATGTTGTACCTCCTCTTCCTACCCCGGCCCACGTTCGTTGCTGGACGCTGGAAATGCGTATGAAATTATACGAAAGCAGCAAAAACACAACAACAACAACCACACTAACAACAACAACAACAACCACAACAGCAACAGCAGCGAGTAGAAGAAGAAGAGGAACGGCGGCGTAGACAGCGTTGCCGGCAAAACTTCAGCTGAGAAATAGAAAATCACCGGAAGTCATTATACAAAAACTTGTTGTTATCGATTGGTTGGGCGATATACTATATACACACACGCACACACACACATATATATATATATATATATATATATATATATATATATATATATATATATATATATATATATGTTATATATATACACTCATACTAATATAGACGCACGCACTTCGTTGAAGTTGTACACCCAACAAGTTAATCAACAATCCAAAAACAAGGATATATTGCTAAAATAGAAAGAAAACTTTTGTTGGGTGTACGTTGCGTCTATATTAATCATTTTGTGAGCGGGGTCCATCCGCCGCTTGTGCTCGTCCGCTTGGCAAGTGGGAATTGAGATCAGCTTTGGGCTTGCTTATTACCAATACAAACGATCTTTCGAGTTGCTCGAGCGGTGGTGGCTTAGTGCGACAAGGTCAGGGGAAAGGCCGTTAACAACAAACTGGCACTTGAATTTCAACGTTTGCTTTTGCAACAATAAAATATTGCACACAGCTGCAACAGCAGCTCAAATGGATCATCTAACTTTCAGAGCAACTGTTGTCGCTGGTGCTGTTGCTGCTGTTGTCGATGTTGCTGCCGTTGCTGCTGCCGCTGCCGCTGCTGATGATGTGGTTTTTAGCTTATAAGACTTCAGCAGAAGGCAGCAAGAGTTAAAGCGAAGGTAAACTGAGATTTTTACTGACCAAAGACAGACCGCAAAAAGCTGAGCACGCACATATGCCATATGGCAAGAAGACTCACGAGAAGGGGTTACTTCGGCTGCGTGGCGCACTTGCGCCCAAAAAAATCACCGACCAGCAACAGCAGCAGCAGCAGCAACAGCTGCGTTGATTGCACTTACCTCCCAGTGGCTGAACATTAGCTGGGGACAGGCGAGGCCAGATGTCTGTTTGCGCATCTCCTGCGCAAAGTTGAACGATTCGATGACGGGCAGCAGGCAGGTCACCGCAAAGTTACCACTGCCCTGGGTTAGGTCGCCCGATAGGATTTTGCCATGACGTCTTCCAATTACCGCATACATTTTACCTGCAAGAAAAAAAATAAACCATAAAACAACAGCTGAGGTTAATAAATCGATCGCACTTTTACATAATATCACTTGAATATGGAATACAAATATATATACAAAAAAATATAGAACAATTCCTTTTTGTGTTGGGTTGGTATTGTTTAATCAGCTGTTGCGTGATATTTTCAAGTGAAAATTATATAATAATGTCAATAAAAATAAAATCCAAATGTCCAATACTAAGAAAGTTCTAAATACCCCAGAGAGGTAAGTAAAATTCGGAACATGCCGCTTGATAAGAACGAATGGAATTTGGCTGAGAAACGCAGCTGCGTAGAAAAAGTGACTTCAAGTTGAGCTGGGTATGGAGCAGGGTGAGCTAAAAACTAAAGCTCAACAGTGGCATTCGGGAATGGGTATTGAAATGAAAATGGAAACGAAATGAAATCTTATCGCTAGGCCCATAAAAATTGGCGCGCTTTCTTGAGAAGTTCGCGCGCTTTTCGCTTAAACTGGCCACTCAACTTCAAGCTGGAGACGAGTCTCAGATTTTCTTGTTGCTGTTGTTGTCGTTGTTGTTCTTGTGGCGGTTGCTGTTTTGCTTGCTTATTTTTTGGCATGCGCGCGAAATTAAACAGCCAACAGAGCCAGCGACAACAACGCCAGCAGCAGCAACAGCAGTAAAAAACAACCCACAGCAACAGCAACACCAACAACAACAACATACAGAGACAGCAGCCGAGACAATGTCGCTTGGGCAGGAATTAGTTTCCGGTCGTAGTAAAAATGACAAAAACAACAAACGAGCGAGACAAAAAAAAAAAAGAAAAGAAGAAGTACAAATAAACACACAAGCAAAAACGGGCTAAAGGATGCGCGTCCAGTCCAAACGTTTGGCCGGCCTCAGGCGACGGACAAGCGCAGCACGCGAGCAACAACTGTAGCACAGGCACACACAGACAGCAGCACATAGATACTCACACACGCACACACACATACACACGCACACACACACACTGGTGCAGGCATAATGGATGCTGTGCTGCTGGCGTCGCTGTTCACAACATTCATTCATTCATAGCCATTACTGCTGCTGCTGCTGCCTACGTCACTGTCTCAGTCGAAGTCGTTGCTGCTGCTGCTGCTGCTGCTCGTTGTTGTTTGTGTGTGTGTGCGTTCATTCAAGTCTTGGCCACACAGATACTCGCTTACACACACACACACAGCACAACGCTCGACGACGGCAGTTGAAGTTGCCGTCGCTCGTTTTTCTGTTTGATCAGTTCGAATTGTGAGGTTGCACAGAGCAGACGTCGAAAACAACCACAAACGCCAACGAGCAACGAGCAACAACAACGAGCAGCAACTGATCCGCGTGCCACAAAACAACTCGTTGAGTGTCCCAAAAATCGAGTCGAGTCGAGGACGCAGCGCGTGTTTCTTGTGCTTACAGAAAAGAATAAATAAATATACATATATATTTAAGTAAATATATATATATCTAAGCAAAAAGTGCTGTCAATTACTACACACAACAATCGTTGCTAATCGCTTGTGTTTTTAAACCTGATCGCGTTGTTGTTGTTGTTTTTTGCAATGTTTAGTTTTACGGGGCCCAGCAGCGACTGCTGCTGCTGCTGCTGCTGACCAATGCTAATTTGAGCGTGGCAACAACAATTCTAACTGCAACAGACAACTATTAAACACAACAACAAAAAAACAATCAACGTATCGATTTTGCAAAGTCAACGACAATAACAAACAACAACAGCGCCAACAACAGAGAAGGCTGAAGCTGACGGCTTACAAAACCCACAAAATACAACAAAATAAAAGTGTCAATTACAACAACCGCACAACACACCCAAATACCCAAACACACACACACAAAATGAGCTGTATACGTGCGCAATCGGTGCTGCTGTTGCTGCGGCTAATGTTGCTGTTGTTGTTGCTGCTGCTGCTGCTGGCGAGCGGTGCGCAAAGCACGCGCCTGCCGCTGGAGGTCTACGAGCTGACGCCAACGGCCAGCGTTGAGAGTCAAGATGCCAAGCACAAGAGCTTGGAGTATAGCATCTATGATGCCAAAGAGCTAGCAGGTGCGACCAACACAGCAGCAGCAAGAGCAGCAGCAACAGCAACAGCAGTTGCTCCAACCACAACAACAACTAGCAGCACGGCGAGGCCAAGCAGCGAAAAGCCGCTAACTGTGGCTGTTGTCAGCATCTCAGCGGAACAGCAAGAAACAGAGCTGGAGTCTGGATTGCTGGCGGGTCGTCGTGCGCGCCAAATGTTGCAGCAGCAGCAGCAGCAACATCGACTCACCAGCAGTAGTAGCAGTAACAGCAACAGCAACAACATAGTCAACAACAAGCACGCGCATAGTGTCAAGGATCTGCGCATACTCTATCAAGTTGGGGTAAGTTGACAGAAGCGCTGATCATGCGCAATGCTAATTACAACAGCAACAGTTGCTGCTGATCTATGCAAAACGACTTTGTCAGCCGATTGCATAATGCAATAGCAGCAGCAGCAGCAACAGCGACACCTGCTTTACCCAACTAGTTGTTGTTGTTACCATATGTAACTGGCTGTAAGCCCACGCCAAAAATATTAACCGCCAACAGCAGGTTTTTGCAGTCAAGTTGGGGCTGTGGCTTTTGGCCGTTTTTAGCTGTAACTGGCTTTTAAGCATTGAGTCTATATTTAGATGCCGCCCTATCCAGATTCGACGACGTTCTTAGCAGCCATTACACTTGACACCCACAAAACAGGGGCACACAGTTTAATTGCAACTGCAACAACAATAACTACAGCAACAGCAACAGCAGCAGTTACAACAACAACAACAACAACAATAATAACAATCGCTTCATATGAAAAATGAAAGTTGTTTAGCAGCGTTTTCCATGTCGCACTTAGTGGCAACGTTGTTGTCTTTGTTGTTGTTGTTGTTATTGTTGTTGTCGTCGCATTTGATCAATTAAACTCAGCGTTGAGCAATTGCGATACCTTATGGACCAATTAGCGGTGCGGGTCAAGAGTTCAATATGTTTCGATATGTGCCTGTCAGCAGCAGCAGCAACAGCAACAGTTGAAGTAAACAGTTGCGGCACGAACACTGTCGGCATGACTAAGTAAAGTTCCCCACCCTCCCCAAGTTCGGCTCAGATACGATCTTTCCACGAAACATTAGTTGTAACAGTTGCAACAGCAAACAGCACACAGCAACAGTCACATTCAATTCAATGAACAGTCAATCAAACTGGAGGTTTCCAGATATAATGTACACTATCCCATATAAACACAGACACAGACAGACATAGATTTATATATATATATATGATTTATGCTTGATTCCAAGCAACTAGCAAAAATGGTTCAATGTGCACTTTGAATCGTATATCAGCAATCTATTGTACCGAAAAAAAACACTCCCTAGTTGGCTGAGGCGTGAAATATCAATAGCAATCAACATGAAAATATTGACAGTCTAAGCAAGGTACAAAAAAAATGTTGGGGCTAAGTGGGGAACAAGTCGAGTCAATGGATACCCTTGAAAACTTTTCATTTCTTACTCAGCACATTACAAAAATGAAAAGTTCTATGCGAGCTTTGCTGCCTGAAGATTTGTGAATTGTCCTCAAATTTCCATAGTATAAGGATCTATCATAAGTTTGCTTCCTGGCACACATAATTTACATGCTTTTCACACTCAAATATCAAAAGACCCTGACACCTAAAAAAAAAAAAAAAACACAGATCGAAGAATCTCGCTTCGACTTGTTTCGTCGTTGTGGGAGAGGGGAGGAGTGGGGAGGGGAACGCCATCAGCGTGGCTCATAAATTTTAGATCCGTATGTCTGCAATAAATTTTGGGAAGGCATAAAAAAGCAAACAGGCGCATAAGACGAACACCTAAAATAGACAAAAAGCCAAAAAAATTCCTGTTCGAAGAACCAAACAAGCGCTAGAAATAGTTATATAGAAAAAGAAGGAAAACAACAACACAGAGTGAGACAGAGACAGCTAGAATAGATCAACTTTTTTTCCTCTTTTGTTGTTAGCAGAAGAAAACAAAAAGTTCCCATGCTTAAAAGCGCTAAACATTCAGTTCCGGTATTTAAAAATGTTTTCAATAATAACAACAACAGACAAGAACAGGAACGAGAAGCGACCAAAGGGAGATGGTGTGTGTGTGTGTACAAGAGAGAGATAGAGATAGGGCGAGCGAGTGTGAGTGCGAGAGCGATAAAGTGTGGTGAGGGGTTAGGCCAAAAGCTGAATGAAAGAAAATTCATGAATGAAATACGACAACGACGACGACGACGACGATGTTGGTGTTGTTATTGAAGCTGAGGCAAATGAAATGGTGGCCAGCGATGAATGAGCGAGAACTGTGACTGCTATGAGGCGGTGAGGCGATGAGGAGGAGTTGAATGTAGCTGATGGGAGGGAAGAAACAGGGAAACGAATGAATGAAAACGTAAACGCTCATATAAGACAGCGACGTCGACGACAGCAGCGACTGCGACGGCGACGGCGACTGCAACTGAGACAGAGGCAGAGACAACGTTTCGCTTCGCTGGGCAAGTCAATCTATGAATGAATGGCAAAGCGACAGAGCGTCCAAATGTTTGAATGGGTAACGCCAACAACAGCAGCAGCAGCAGCAACAGCAACAACAGCAACAACTTCACTGATTTGTTGGCCATATACAAGCAGATCAGCTACGCATATTTGGCTTTAACAACTCAAGAGTCGTCGTTGGCGTCGCTGTGCGCGTGGCATGGCTAAAAGCGGCTAAGACTCAATGCTGTTGCTGCCGTCTATTGGCATGTTGCTGGCGTGCTGCTGCTGCTGTTGCTGTTGCTGTTGCTGTCGACATGAATGATGTTAAGAATTCATGAGGTACGCAACACCACGAGAGATATCAAAGTGTGTCTACAAATTCCAATTGACTGAGAAATGCATAAACAAATCAAGCATAAACATGTCTCAAGCTGACACACAGACAGGCAGACAGACAGATAGTCAGTTCATTTATTGTTGTTGCTGTTGCTGGCCCGAATCGTGGCCCAGACACGTGGGTGCTTTAATTGTTATTGTTGTTCTTGTTTGTTGCCCAGCCAGGTGTGAAAACGGCATTTTTATTTATTTTGTGTGGAGCTAGTTTTTCGAGCAAATGTTGCGTATGCGCAATGTGAGCCAAAACTCAATGAAAACAAAAATATAAAACTGTTTATCAATCCACACATCGGACCACGCCTTTACCAACAATGGCCACAGCTGCCTACGAGTCTCATATTTTTTGCTATCTTCTTCACAATATTTATGATAATTCAGTCGCAGGCATTCATAATAAAAATGTCATCATAAAAATTTACGAGCCTTGTGATAACTGCCTTCATTTCTTTTTTAAGAAATCTATGCCCATATCAGATTATATACAGATGACAGGTTTTGCTTTGTTAATACGAGCTTGAAGGTCGTTATAGAGTTAAGTTTCAGCTGCAGATACATGATCTGCCCGTTAATCATGTTCAATATGAGCCACGTTAATCAATAATCAAGTTATCATCAAGCATCGGGTCGCATTCCTAGGTTTCTTATAATTTTTATTATTTTTATTAAGAGTTTGCAGTTCGAAACGTTGTTCAGATTACGACTTCAAATTCTGGAGAGTTTATTTTTTCTTTTTGCATTCTTTCATCATTTTTCTCCCTCTCTCCTTCTCTCTCTCTCTCTCTCTCTCTCTCTCTCTATTTGCCTTTCACGTCGAGGAATGTTTTTTTTTGGCTAAATTTAGAAATTATTCAATGTGATCCAAAGCGAAAACAAGAGAAATAAAAAATAAATAGCCGAAGAGAGTAGAGAAAAAACATCAGTGGGCTTTTTGTTGTTGACTGCCATATATCATACACTGTGAAAAAAATTAATTAATTCAGCTTATTTTGGGTTGATCAAAACAGATTCAAGAAAATGTAAGCTTTCTTTTTCTTCATTGTGGACTTAGTCTTTTCTCGCAGTGTGCTTATGAGCAAACCAACATATTTTTAATAATGTCTAACGCATTAGCATAAAACGCACCGCAACAACAACAACACAGCTACAACATAGCACAACATAGCACAATTATTCACCTAAAAAAAATTCCAGTTCACAATTTTTCAGAGAGCTCCATTGAGAAAAAAATATGCCTGAAAGCCAACTACAACCTGAGCCAACGGATGCTCGGATACCACAAAACTAGTTTGCCCACTTTTTTCTCCTTGTTGTTATTGTTGTTGTTGCACCTATTGCTGTTGCTGGCTGCTGCTGCTGCTGTTGTTGTTGTTGTTGTTGTCGTTTCTCGAGGCAATCGGCTCAAGTTTTTGGAACTGGCGCGCGCGCCAAGTCAACTTTTTACAATTTTTTTTTATAAGAAAAAAATTCAACAAAGAATACTCCGAAAAAAACAAAACCAAAAACAAAATTCGTATAAATTCGATTGCTGCCGCAGAAGCAACAGCAGCAACAACAGTGTATTGGAAAAAGCTGGCGGAAATGTTGTTGCTCTGGTGGCCAGTTTCCGTTTCAGCCAAGACCTTGTTACAGTTATTGACGGACACGTTCCAATTTGGCCGCTTCTGCCGCTTTGTTACTGGCAGTTGTTGTTGTTGCCATCTGTAAGTGTGCTAATTACGTGCCAAAGGCGCATTGTTTACAGCGGCTGGCGACGGCAGCAAAAATAAATAACTATAAATACGCAAACGGGGCGCGTATTGCTGCTGCCGCTGCTGCTGTTGCCGCTGTTGTTGATTCATTCATTCATTCATAAAAACCGCGCGCGAGCAATAACAACAAAAACAACGGCAGCAACACAAGTGCGCATGTGTTCATTAAACAAAACAACAGAAGACCAGTTGTGCTGCTGCTGCTGGAACGGGGCGGATGGTGCGAGGGTAACCTAACAGTAGCACCAGCACCAGCACCAGCAGCAACAACAACAACTGCAACTCGATCGTAATTAACAGACGAGGCAGCCACTGATCGAAAAAAAACGGCCACAACAAAAGCTACGCGCAATTGTTGCTGCTTGCTAGCTGTCATTCATTAAAAATTGCGAAAATAGCAGCAGTAGCAGCAACAGCACGCACACAGCAGCAGCAGCAGCAACTTTTCATTCATAAAAATGCTGAACACAGCAGCAGCAGCAACAACAATAGAGCAAGCAGCCAAGATTGATTTATTTTGCTAAGCGTAAAAGGAGACAACAGCAGCAGCAGCAGCAGTAGCCGCTGCAGTAGCAACAGTTGCCAGCAACATGCTTACAGAGCAGCAGCAGCAACAGCAACAGCAACATTTTGCGGTTTGGCCAAAGCAACAATTACAAAAACAACAACTTGGCCACATTGTTATTGCTGTTGTTGTCTCCCC